CCAGTCCTGATTTGAGTCGGTGCTGAACTGTACATTCCAACTTCACTGCAAATCTGACTCAAACAACTCTTTTGGTTCCCTTGGAAACCAGGTGCTCAGAGATCAGAAAAGATCCATTTCACACTTCAGCAGCTAGTGAAGAGACAAAGAGATGGTTAGACAAAGGGAAGTAGGAGGGAAGGAGGATTTAGACAGAGTGGAAGAGGGGGCGGGGGTAAAGGAAGCTTGACCTTAAAGGAGGCTTCATTCTTATGGGCCTTTTGTCTTGAAACAGAATGAAAATAGCAACAAATGGACTGAAAGAAATGTTGTTGCCTCCACTTGCGGGGCTGTCTGTCCTTTTGAGCTGTCCGTCCTGAAATGGACGGGATTTATTTAGGCGTGTCGGTGGGGGAGGAGGGTGAAAATGGCTGCAGTTCTCATTTATTGATGCAGCTTTTATTGTTATCAGTCGTGAGGCAAGCATGCCTACTTCTAACACAGCCTAACAGAAGGAAATGGCTTAATGCAGACAGTAATATCTCACAGCATGAGATGTTGCCAAAGGTCAGCACTTCCCTTCGTTTACAGACACACTTGACTCATTAAAAGCTACTCAGAAACATCAGTTACTCAGTAAAAATCTAATCTTATGTGCTTACACGTGCTCAGCATCAGGGAAATTAGATGATGCCTCTAAATTTAGATTTTTTTATACCTCTGGAGGTTTTTGTGGATACAGTCTCGATCATCTTCATATGTTTTGTGTTAGTGAATTTCTGCACCAGTTTAGAGCCTTGCATTCTGCAGTTGAGTAGGTGGGTGAAACACTCTTCATTTCACACAGGGATAAAGCACTCTGCACGGATAAAGCAATCAGAGCTTAGGCACTTAATAACAATGGACTAGTTTAGAGAAGTGTGCTATTTTAAAACACACAACGCTACGTTTCCGTTTTAGGCATAAATATGAATTTTCAGTATTTTGCCATGTCAATTACCAGGAACAAAGAAACTGAGAAGGAAAAAAATAATCATCTAGCATAAAGGTGAGAATTTCTTCAGCCAAACCTTTATTCACCAGCTTCATTGTAGACAGGATTATTTAGCCTTCAGTTTCAATTGCTATCAAACAATATAGTTTACATGATTACATGTAACGTCGCTCAGGTGTATCATGGACCCCGTTGTCTCCTACACAGTCCACCTTTGCATCCAGAAATGAAACCTTAAACTCTTACATAAGCAGCCATATGTTTTCTCTGTGCTGACGAGTTCTTTGGGGACAAGTTGATGTCAGATGGGGGACAAAAGACAGCGGACTGTTTTTATTTTATTTTATTCTTACTTACATACTCTGTCTCCTCTGCTTGATTTGGAGGCCTGTGTGTGTGTGGGGGTGGCGGTGGGGGGTGTATTTAAGATGTGAAAATATGGCTTTGTGTATGTCTTTGGGAGTTCTTTGTTAATTGTAAAGGGCAGATGTTGAGTTTGTATCTGGGAGAAAGAATGAGAGGGTCTAAATATGGCTCCCAGACCAGCTTCAAAGTCTCTCCAAATATTTTACTGACATTTCCCCCCCAGTTTTGTCTGCTAGATCCACATGTCACGCTGTATGTGTACCTCTGCATTAGGGTCAGGCAGCCCAGAACAGGACGCCACACTGAGCTACTTTTAAATCCCCTCCATCAACTTGTACCCATTTTCTGTGCAGATATACAGAGAGCAAGTCATCAAATGCGGGAACAAGACCATTATCTGCAGGCCTGTCAAAGTATCTGAACATTTTATTTCTGGCTCAGTCAAAGGTCTGAAGTGATTATTAATATCGGTGTGTCTTTTCCATGAAGGTATGGCAACACAGGGAGATTAATAGCTTATAAATCCAGCACACGAGTGTCTGTGCACCTACTTGTGAAAATCTTTCCCCCTGCAACAAGAAATCAGATTATCGATGTGCCTGCTGTTTCTCTACGTGTGCCCACTGCCTTCAGTATTGATTTGCTTTGCTATTAGACAAACTGTGCAGAGACAGTAGGTGCGCAGGCAAAGTAAACGCGCACAAGATCGTTTCACACATTTAATGGAAAGTAAATTGCAATGTAGCAGTTCATGGGCTTTAAGGATTTACAGAGTTTCATCTTTACTCAGCAGTCTGAGCTGTCTGTTTCACCGGCCCATGTACATGGACCCCTCATTAACCAGTGGATGGTTCACCGAGCAGCTCCATAAGCACTTTCACCGATTCAGGCAGACGTAGAAAAGGTCTAATTGGTAACAGTTATCAACAGCTGGACCGACACAGATGGTTAGAGCTGCTGGAGATTATTCTTCAAATTCATAGTCATGGTTTTGCACACACCGTGTTTGTGACTTTTCATTAGAGAAACCTCAATTTTTTACTTTAACCTGTCAACCCTCTTGAGCCTATTCATTAAATCGTGATACATGTTAAGTACAATGATTCCCAACCTGGGTTAAACTATCTCATAACTTTACTCAAATAAAGGTACTGTTACAAAGATGAAAATGGCACACAGATAAAGTAAGATAACATGTGAAAAGATCTATTTAAGCCAAAGAAAAATGAAGTGGTTCATGAGCTGAACGGTTACTTTCTATTTCAATGGTTGTCAAAGTGCAAAACTATCCATAACCTGTTGTTTTTATATTGTTCAGTCAATAATCTCAATCATTAAAATCACTTATAACATGACAAAGGATGGTGAGGTAAACAGAACTGATTCATTACTGTGAGAAATCACTGGTACAGTTACTAATTACCACACATTAAATGGTGCTCTAGTTTGTTTTTGTTTCCCCATTTGAGGCAGAGGTAAATGCAGAAATAATTAATCCTGAGTGACTGATTTTCCCACTTTGTGCGAGACAAAAGGTTACTTCTTCAAAAGCTTTACTTTAGCTTTGTCTAATGTCTATTCTATGACTTAAAAAATAAGCAATTCCTACCCAAATAGAAAAAAATCTGCAGCTGAATGTTTGAGCTTCTTAATCTCTAGCTGCCAGTTTGACTTAGGAAATAAAGTGTTTAAATTCACTGTTTGCTAAAAATCAGATTCAAAAGCTAATGTGGGAGTTCACCAACCACTTATAAACCAACCCTGGTCCAGGATTCTCCACTTGTAGATAATGTGGAAACTCTAAGCATCAAGTTACAAACAATGAGACCGCACTTAACATTGAAATATGAGATATGTTAAGATAAAGGATATTTCATTGATCTGTCTTTTATTCTTCTTCTTCTTTTCTACCATCTTTTGTACCTCAGTATACACCAAGTATCTCTTTACTTCCAGCTTGCCCGAATGATCCTTAACATTTGATATTTCCTACATGGATAAGAACAGATGGAGCTTGAAAAAGAACAAATGTGAATACAAATAATTTCCTCATTTATAACCTTTTTCTAAGTGCATGGAGCCTAAGGTTGAAGTGACTTTTTGCTTGTAAGGGCCATGCTGACCAAAGAGAAGAGCTATTCTGAGACAACACCGCTCTGGTTTCAGGAGAAAACTGCCGAGGTGCTCAAATGACCCCATGAAAGCCAAGACAGAACCTCTCTGTAGAGACGGTGGTTGCCCAGAAGCTTCACTTTCATACTTACAGAGTTTAGTTAGTTTGCCAGGAGGAATGATGGAAACTACACAGAGCCTCTTGTGCAAACCTGTAGAGACTGTAATGGCTTCTAAATATGGTGCAGGCTCAGCTGGACATTAGTAAGCGGAGGCTTGTAACTGGCCCGTCCATGTTAGCCAGCAGCTGATCCCGAAGGTTGCTGGGCAAGATGTGCGAGCTGTACGGTTGAATAAGTATCCATCTAATCATTTCCCATTGCTGTCAGGTCACCAGTGCCTAGGTTACTCTGACCACACCACCACATACAACCTGTACCAACAAGGGTTTTTTTTAAAGCTCTATATCTTCTGCACAATTCTGAATATGTTTTGCAATTTAATAATAGACTTTTTTTAGGGGTGTTTCAAAAAGTGGGCCTTTGTCAGCTCATGGATCCATTGACTGAATAAAATTACTTTTTTGAAAAGAATATCCTTTTACTATCCTTTTGCAAACATTTATTAGTAAAATGCTACCAGACAGCACCTCATTTTTACAAAGTTCTAATAGCTACCAGGAAAGGTAGGTGAGCTTGATGTATTTCATCCATCGGACAGCCCTTGAAAATGATGGAGTATCTGCCTGTCGAAGATCTACACTACCAAATTAGGACATTTCAGTGTGACTCGCCCCAAAAATAGAAGCATATGAGGCGTAGCTGACAAATGTGACAGTTCCACAATATTGAAACTGGAGGGAGTGAGAGACAGCTCTGAGTTCAAGAGGTTACCCTCATCTACGGTCCCCTAGAAAACTTTCCGCGCCCACTGCTTGTTAGTGCCAGTGAAATCACACAATAGCCGCTCTGATATTGTTTCCAGAGCCAAACAGTCAAAGGCGTGTGTTTCTGGGCGTCGGCCAGTCTTCTGAGGCCACCTGACCACTGCCTCTCGAACGTCTGCTCTTAAGATGTTTCGAATTTCCCGTGGATTTTTTTTTTGCAGTAGATGCGTGTCAAACAGCCCTGATTAGTCATCTACCATCTGCTGGGCCGTGTGAGGAGAGCGGCTCATTATGCTGCCGGTTGAGTCTGCTCTGAAGCTGAGGCTCCTCTCTGGCTATCAGGCAAAGCTGCAGGGGCTCCTCGCATCCCAGCAGCAGGGAACAGCTTGATGAGGTAGCGTTGCTGCACACAAGTGGCTGAGCTCACGGCATCTGAGAATGAGCTGTCCTACGGCCAATCTCAGCTTCTCAGTGTGACCGTACAAAACACTTCTGTCTCTCACATGATGAGATAAATTTGAAAACACCGTGGACGCCGGCCCATCGATCGGCATCTTCAGTGGCCACAGAGAGGTGAAACGATCTCATTTGTAAGCTGCTGCCGCTTGACAAGCTCCCTTTTTTTTTTCTTTTTTGTAACGGTATGTTTGTGTTGTCTTTCAGGACCTGGTGGGTAGCGCGCCACCTCAGAGGAACTGGAAGGGAATAGCGATCGCTCTGCTGGTCATCCTGATAATCTGTTCTCTGATTGTGACCTCTGTTATCCTGCTGACCCCTCGTACGTATCACACACAAACAAACACTGTCCAGACAAATGTGGAAATGTTGGTTTAGTTTACTCTACCCACTGTTAAAAAATCCCACACAGTGGACCTTTTAGAGAAGAAACCAGATTGGTAACTTACATGAAACATTTTATATGAAAACATTACATATTTACATTTCAATGCATATTAATTTAAATATGCAAATAGACACTTTCTAATAAAGTCTGTAGTCCGTCAACAGCCCACCAGCCAGAGAGAGAACAAATCAACAGTCCAAAAGTCCTAAACTTATGTCTCTCATATTTAAAAATGGATTCTAAATTAACATTGGGACACCTGAAATTGTTATAAAGTTAAATATTATCACACTTTTTTCTTAAAATGGAATATATAAATAAGATAAGTCAATGAATATGAAATGCCTGTACATTTTGAATAACTGTCCCTCTTAGGGCAAGAACACCAGGTAGTTTCCAAGTAGTTCTTATTGAACGAGAATCAACCGTTCCATGGAACAATTGGCTTTTACTTTGTGGATTTCCTAATTATATTTCCATCCATCCATCTATTTCCGTGACCGCTTATTCCCTAATGGGGTCGCAGGGAGACTGGAGCCTAACCCAATGGACAGTCCCCAGTCCATCGCAGGGCCACACAGAGACACACAAGGACGAACAAACACCCACACTCACTCCTAAGGGCAATTTGGAATGTCCAATCAACCTAACATGCAGGTTTTTGGATGGTGGGAGGAAGCTGGAGAACCCGAAGAGAACCCACACAAACACAGGGAGAGCATGTAAACTCCACACAGAAAGGTCCTGGTTCCCCTGGGACTCGAACCCAGAACCCTCTTGCGATGGTGCTAACCACCACACCACCGTTCCCTCCCTAATTAATTTGTCAGATCCAATTGATTGGGAAATAACAGAACAAAATCAACTATTTAAGGTGAAGTACAGCAAAAAAAAAAAAAAAGTTGTATTTACACTGAGCAACCCAACACATTTCTGTTGCAATCCAAGGTAAAGCTTTAGAAGTCTGGCAAACTTTTCTGGCCACATATCAAATAATAAAGTTACAGTCAGGGGATATCAGGATAAAGAGAATAAGATACCTTTGGGGGAAATTGAATAAAATTGCAATGAGAAAAACGCACTGCATGCTTGTTGATTTTTTTCCCGAGCCATGCTGTAATGTTCCACCAAATGTCACTGAAATCTGTGATACATTTGAGATAATAGACATGTAGCCATGGTGACAGGAGACAGGAGTTGCTCACACATGCCCGTTTGATGGTTTCTATATACATATGTGCTACACACATGGCTGGCTTTAAATGAGGTGGTGCAAATTCACCTCATCTGAGCTGTTTTTCAGCAGCATCCTGTTCCGTTGCAGCGTAGGCGGCTATTTTAAGCCGATAACCTTTTTTTTTCAGCAGGGCACGTTTTTGCAGATAAGGTTGTATCTTTGGATAGTGATTGTATGCCAGGTCTTCACAGCGGCTGGGCCGTTGCCGCTCCGTGTAATGAGTCTTTTAATGTGCAATGCCTCTCAGGCCTGTTTAATGGACATGATTATGCAGTAATAGCTTCAGTCCTTTGTCACATCCTAACAGCATCACAGATACAATTATCTGCCTCATATTGTAAGTCAGCTCTCTCTCATCACTCCCGTGTCTCTCCAGACAAGAATTTCCTGATTCTTGGAAATGATAAACACTTGCCTGTGTCTGACTTCATGACATCATAATTGATGAGGTTTTCCAGAAAATGGTTGAAGGGGTTCAAACATTTCTTGTTGTTTTCTTCATCAAGTCCAAACTCCACAGAGATGTGCTGCACCTGCAGCCAAGCTCCAACTCCAGCATTTTGGGTCGTGGCCAGCCTTTTGCCGAAAAACCCAGCAGACAGATGTGAACTGGCGGATCTTTTTGGTGATTCACAGGTGAAGATGACAGCCTCGCCCTGAAGAAGAAAGTGACTGTTGAGGATATCTTCGGTCCGGACCTGCACGTCCATGATCCAGATGCAAAATGGCTCAGCGGTGAGAAATCAGTTTAAATTTTTAATATGTGTCCTTTTTCAAGAAATAATTATTAATACTACAAAGATTTTCACAGTGTTTCATAAACAATATTGCAGCATCGTTCCACCCACCGAACAGGGACAACTTGGCAGCACCTCTTTGTTTAAAAATCATGACTTGAAGTATATTAACTGAAAGATCACGTTACGTAAGTAACTCATCAAGTTCCCATTAGGGAAATTCATCAGGCATTGTCTTTAGGTAGTCTGGATGACATCCCAGTCCTTTTAACCTGTGTGAGTGTAGTGTTTGTTTAACATAAGTGGTGTCTGCGGTAAGTCAGTAATTAAAGTGCCTGCTGCTGTTACAACAAGATTCGAAGGAAAATACTAACCTCTAACTGTTTAGATTTGTCAAGCAAATGTTATCTTCTCATCTATCCCAATAAAGTAACTCATCTGCATTCTGACAGTTGACCTGAAAGACATAGCTGTGAATATTTTCTTCAAATTTCAAGGAGATGCAACAACCACATAATGAAAGTACATGTTTTTATAAACACAGCTAATAAATGCTAGTCATATGACCGGTGTATTGTACGGTAATTCAACCTGAACAGATGTTCAATAGAGCAGTTATGCCGCTGCCTTCCCAACCATGAGAGCAGTTGGATGGAAACTGGTACTCACAGAATGGGTAAACTCTGAGCCCCCTGGTGTTCAACAGAAAAGGTGCCTCATGTGGTTTCAGACACATTCATTCCTTCATTATGTATTCACTCATTTGACAGCTGTTTTTAACTAGCAATATTTCTTCTAATATGTTTTCTCATTATTTGATTTAAAAAGAAAAACAGGACAACATGCTTTCTTATATAGGTAGAAAATCTGTTGCAGCATCCTTGACCCTAAGTAAACTTAATATTTTTCATTTAGCAGGAAGGGTAAAATTAATTTAAATTGCGGAAGGACAGTGGTGTGTATCTGGTGCTCCTGGTAAAAGATTAGTCCCAAATATAGAAGCTGAGTCCTCTTTGCAGGTCAGAGTACTGTTCAGACTCTGGGCAATCAAAATCTCTCCAAATTCCTGGTCCTTTCTCTTCTGCATCCTTACTAGTTAAGACAAGAAATAAATATATCTTTACAAATCCTTCAAAATTACTATGTGGGATATAAGTGATAAATAAAGGTCAACCATTTTGATCCTGTTTAAATCATATAAAATGAGCTGTCAAAAATGTTATGATGTAACATTTTCATCTAGACTAGCTGTAAATTGTTATCACTGCACCGACACACATACACATGATGACACAGTCATATTTGATGGATGTTTTTGATGAGGTGTTCATTGGCAGTGTAGTACACATTAGCAGTACATCTGTTCACTCACTCTGGTGTGCAGATCACTCCTCTGATTACTTACATTCTCAGAAGATTAACAAATGATTAGTTACATTCTCATCTGGTTTCCCTCTTCATTCATGACCAGAAAAATCCTTCAGGATCTGACGAAACTCCACCAATCTATTCACTCACATTGCACGTGTCAGTTAGGTTAATGTGATCAACTCCTATTCAGTATTAATGACCTTCTGATAAGGAACCCAAAGGGACAAACTCAGTCTTGAGCAGTCCTCATCAATATTTGGTGGGTTTCATTCACAGCAGTGCTAATTGATCCCCGGTGCTCTTTGATCACACCCTGCTTCAGCAGCCTTTGGAGTAACCTCTGGGTTTCTCAGACTTGGATCCAAAGACAAAGGATTAAGCCTTCACATTGATCTCTAAAACAAAAAGGGGGTGCTGCTTTCCACCTGAAATTCCTACTCTTTCAGATACAACAGAATATTCAACAGAAATTAGTCCCTGGCTTTTGTTGTTTTGCTGCAGAGCCCAGAAGGAGTGAAGTCAGTTCAAACTGAAAAACACTTTTTGTTTATTTATTCACACAAAAACAGCCAGATGAATGCCATCCAATCGCTCCATGTCTTTGCACGTTTACCTTTATCTTTTATGACAGATGGAATCCTATTGGGCTCCACAAATACTGTTGTTTTGAAGGGACTTTTTTCAGCTGCAGTTTCGTAACGTTGCCTCTTATTTTCTATATTAGGAGATTTACAACATGTCTGTCTGTGTTCAGTTCAGCTTCATAATTGATCAGATTGTAGTTTTGACTGTTTACTACAATTTGATGGCATTTGTTTTAGACTATTTTCCTCTTGGAAAATGTACAAAGTTTATACTGGGGGTTTTATTTGGTCACCACTATGTACTTGTTCAGTTCAGTGCCAGATATTGTATATCCCTTGCTCATCTGTGCATAGAGTGTTCTGAATTATTCCCTTTCCTTTTGAGCTATTTTAACAGTAGCAGCTATCTTTTTGGACTGAGTACGATGAGGTCACCTCACTGTTTTCCTTTGTCTCCTGACTGCGGTTGGCACTAGAAGCATTAAGCTTCAGTTGCATTCGGTGTTTCTTTCACCCTAATTTCTGACTTCTTGGGATATTGCCTCACACAACAGAAAACTGAGAGAGCTCTGGTGTTTGTTATAGTGTCTTTATCCACTTATCTGTAACTGGAAATATATGCTGACTTTTTGGTGCACTGACTTTTGTTTTATTTGCTGATTAAATAATGAGCTGCACTGCAGATTTGCCTTTAATGGTTTCACCAAGATGAAGATCCAGCTGCAGGGCACCAAATCCAAATGAAGTTCCAAAAGTCAATCGATTTATTTTAGTAAGGAAGAGGCTGTTATTGTTGCAGACAAAAACAGGGAGCAGTATCTGTCTGAGGAACACACAAGCACTGGACTACAATTACTCAAACAGGAAAACAATATAATACAATAATACATTTGCAGTTCTTTGAATAATTTTAGTGACTCCGACTGCACCGACATGTCACTTCCTGTTTGTCCCACTGCAAAATATCAACATCAGTAATCATGTAATTCTCAATGGTACAAACAGCTGTCATTATTATCAATGCTCAAACCCAAAATCTCACATATATATGCGATTGATGAGGTATTCTTTGAATTGCAAAGCTTAATTTAAGGGATGAAAGGGTATTCAGTTCCCCAATTTATTACGTATTAGTCACCTTGTGTCTGTATATGGATCTAAAATAAACCGGTAAATCAACAAAAATCTAAATATTTGATTAATGTTCAATGGGCAGTAGGTGGCCCCCATTAAAAAATAGGTAGCATTTTGTCTTATTTAAAGTAACGTAGAAATTGGACATAATAATGAAAAAGAAGTGTGAGAATTGAAACTGCAGGCTAAATCGATAGCCTTTAATGCTGATTGTTGCCTATTATTTGTGATTTACAGACAATGAACTGCTGTTTCGATCAAGGGACGGCGATGTTGTTAGGCTTAATGTGGACACATTGGAGCAGAAGGTCGTCGTATCGAACCAGCTGTTTGTGAGTTCAATTTTCTGCTGAAACACCAACCATATTTCTGCTTTACTGGTTATGATAGCACTGTTTCTTATCTTTTGGTTCAAATTCCTATTCAGGACAGATCCAGAGCTGCCAAATATCAAGTGTCCCCAGACATGCAGCATGTGCTGTTTGCTTTCGATGTAAAACTGGTAAGGAAACATTACTGCCCCCTCCCAGAAGACTTATGTTTTCAGATGTGACCCTCTGTGATTGCAATGTTGTTTTCTCCACAGATCTACCAACACTCCTATGTTGCCAAGTACATTATTTACAGTCTTGTGACCCAGTAAGATCCGCCTCTGTTTTGTTTTCTATCTATCTTTCTTCACTCACAGATTTTTGACAGTATTCCCTCCCTCTGACCTTTAGCTTTAGCTTTAGTTTGCTGCTATCATCCATTGCTTTCTTACGGAAGTGCTTTCCAGTTTAGTTTAATGTTGTGTTCTGCATTCTGGATGGCCTGTTTTTGGCCTTTCATCTATCTATGTCTGCTTATTTCCCCACTCTTTTGTATCTTTGGTAAAGCAAGCAAAGTTAAGTTGTGCACAAATAGAATGTGGATGATTGATGAAGGCAACAATAACTCAACAAGCAAGCAAAAAAAAATGTTTTTGTCATTTTCATTTATACTCGGATACTATGCGCATTGTGCAGCATACCAGCAGATATCCGTTCTACAATGTCTTTTCTCCACAGGGAAACTTGGCCTTTGAATCCTCCTGAGGTGCATGACGCTGTCTTGCAGTTTGCTGGATGGGGACCCCAAGGCCAGCAGCTGGTGAGCAGGCTGTTCCCCTAAGATAACACTCACTAAATACTGGCAGTCTAGCGGAGATATGTCAGAATCAGGCTCAGTGGTGATTTATGGCTTGTCACAGTGGGACAGCCAAATGTTGCTGTAATAAGGGGGCCATGTTCTCTGTGATGACAGCAATCCCGGTTTCTAGCTGGAGTTTTGTTTGCTTTGACCTCCTTCGTTGTCATCCAAAATTATTTTTACTCTCTGACATCTCAAAAACCGATGAGAGCCACACTGGCAGATGGTGTCTCAGCTCACCCAACCTGTGAGCTGGCCTTCCTGAGGTTGATCAGGGAATAGATGTTAACACATGGAACGAAAGAATGGGGATAGTTTGCCTGTTGTTCTTGAACACATCTATCTATGTGAGGACCAAATGTACAGTTTCTCTCACAAACACATTTCTTCTAAGGGTTGGTTTTAGTGATATAATATTCTTGAAAAACTAATGTGAAAAAACACAAAAGGTAAAGTTAAAGGTACCATTAAATATGCATCAATCATTATTAAAAGAACATGAATATTGGCTATATAACACTTGGCTCAGTTTTTACTCTCACATCCTAAAGAACAGCCTTGTGTCTGAGAGATAACACATTTACCTTGAATCTGTTTGTTTTGGGGGTTTTTCTGTTAATTTCATTTAAGGAATAGAACTCTTTGTTCCAAATAAAGATCTGTAAATGGAGAAATGTAGTGGAAAGGTTGATGCACCCCAGTTGTAAAAGCGCAACATTTGCAACTATAATTTGTGAATCATCTGCACTTTTAATTCGCTTTTAACCTGGGCTATCTTTTAAAAGAACTTTCCCCCACATCCACAAAAACTTTCAAGCAGTTACTTTGCTCAGCTGCTCAAATGCTATTATATCAGTCAGGTTTGAGTTTAGAGCAGAGCAAACTTTCAACCTTGAAAAAGCCGCATGAAATGGGAATACTCAAGTAAGATTATTTCAGATTTCGATTGAGTGTTTTTGGTTACAGTTTTTTTTATCTGTCAGTTGGGAGGAGATTTGGGTCAGGGTAAGGATGGAAATTAAGGATTCAGTGTATTGAACTTTGAGGAAAACAGAACCATGAGTGTCCTCACAAACACGGTAAATATCAAACAATCTCTGTTTCTTTATGTTTAAGAGAAAAGGTTTTCAGCTTGATTAAAACTTAAAGACAGAGAGATGTAGGGGGAAAAAACTGTGGGTTCTCATTTTGTGCAAACCGTCTCAGTCCATGGACCCGACATGTTCACAAGGGACTGCAGAGAAATAACTCATTTGGAACACCTGAAGAATTTATTGAAAACACAAAAGCAGAAGAGAATCTGAAAATGAATTGTATAGAAATTCAGTCAGCCCCACTATTTTTTCACTCCATTCACATGAGCTGCGAATCAGAGACCATAAAAGAATGATTCAGTTATTGTCTGTTCATGGATTAACATGTCAGTGTTTGTTATTCATGAAAAATCCAATCTTAGAGTAGGTTTTAGAAATATGGTAGTCCACTGAAAATGGATGTTCCTTAATTTTGTTTTTAATCTATCTCCTCTGAATAATGAGAGCTCCTGCAGTTCTATTAATCAGAGTAGCTGCACCACCCCACAAACACCTCCCACCACCCTTTTAGAATATATGCTCTTAATAGAATAAACGCCACATTTTGGAGAAACTCAGAAAACTTGCCCAATGTTTTTCGGGGGGAAGAAGACTAGCTCTAAAGTAATGAGCTTTTAAAACGGCATCGATCTAAGGACCTGATGATATTCTATATTCTCTGATTTACTCAATTCTTTTCCCTTGTCGGTTTGAAATTGGTTTCTGTTTAGAGTGTGGGGCTTAGACAACAGACAGCGCTAAATTTCACCATTTATCCTCTCCCAAGTTTAATCTTCTACCATAACTGCTCTTATCTCACCATTTGTTTAGATTACAGATAGATATCTACGAGAAAATATTAGTATTTCAAGAGTGAGATGAGGCTTTGTCGGCCAAGGCAAGACAGCAGAGGAATTTGCATATGGTAATTGGCATACCTGATTGTTCTTTTCGCAGTGCTGTAACTACAGCTCTGAATTTGATTTAATGAACCTCAGAGGTTGTGCCGGATGAAATGGGACAAGCTCTCATCTTTTGTCTCCGTCTGACCCGGAGATGTAGGACGTGTTTTCTTTTTCTGCCCCTCGCAGCTTGCGAATGTAATGATTTCCCATTACGTTTGTAAGAAATGGAACAATTTATCATCAGGAGCTTCATCAGCGTGAAAGAATATACGTGTATGTGTGTGTTTTGTGTGCAGTGAAGTGTCAAATGTACAGTGAGACGAACAGGAAGACGAATCTTGCAGTGCCCCTTTCATTAAACTATGAGCAGTTATTCCTATGTGACAGCTCAATCAGCAAAGCTGGGTAAACTGTCAAACACCTGTAAATACACACATGTCCCCCTCACACAGGGGTAATATTAACACAACACACTGAATTTAAAAGCAAAGACATCACGCTATTGTAAGTAATGATTGGGAAAAACGGACCACGTCACACATAGACGTACAAACATCAATAAAGACAAAACTGCTATTGGAACTCCACAGGTATCTCTCATCTCGGTGCTTTTATGTCTTCACCCTTTAAAATGACTGTTTTGAAGCCTGGTTTGGTTTTCTCTGTTGTTCCACTGAAGGTTTAAAAGTTATGGACTGCACTGTTGTAAATCAAAGATCGGCCCCAGTATCTTTTATGGCTTTATTTTGTAATGTATTTGGAACTAACAAGTTCATCCTCAACACTATTTCTCTTCTAATAATTTTTGCCAAGATGGTATCCATAGTAAATAGACTACTATGGTTTTTATTTCAGCCTTATACATTTTTATGTTTTACATGGCCAGGCATGGATCAGCTCTTCCTAAGTGATGATCCAAAGCTGGGAAGTTTGCCATATGTATGTCTCTTTTGCCTGTAATTCAAATGAAAAGGTCTCACTGGATGCCAGTCTGATGCTAATCAATCCCAAATTCTTCAAAGTAGCACAAAGTCAGAACACTGGAGGGGGCGGTTCCATCAGGGCCTTTGATTGGCCTCATGGCCGCTGTTTTCATCAGCCACTTCAACAGCTTACAGCTTGAGGGCTTTAGAAAACTGGAATTTTTTTACCAACTATGTCAGAGTCTCAGTGTTTAAATTATGGTTAGCTGTACTTCTAAACCACTTTTGGATATTGGCATTAAAGTTTCATATGAGAGAGAAATAAATGTGAAAATGCTTTAAAAACAAGATACAGATGTTCCCCTAGCAGAACAATATATCCATAACTTGGGTTACTTGGGCGCATACAGAGACACTGAAGCTAATGAAAGTGTTCCCTGTTTTTCTATGTCCAGATCTTCATATTTGAAAACAACATCTACTACAGAGCAACAGTGGAGAGTCGCTCCATCCGCTTGGTTTCCAACGGGAAAGACGGTATAATCTTCAATGGCCTTGCTGACTGGCTATATGAGGGTAAGATGTATTCAAAAACAGTTTGTCTAAACTGGTCAAAGCATTACAAAGTATATTATTGGGGGTAGGAATGACATTTGAGCATGTTGAGTTGACATCTACAAAATGTGAAAAGCCTGAAATACCGTACATTGCTTTTGTAGCCATGCTGGAAGTTGGAAGATGTTTTGCTTCTGTTAAGCTGCACAAACAAAATGTGCATTTGTTTCATGCATATTTCATTACTTAATGATAATGGAAATGTACACAAAGAAATGATTTCACTTTTATCTTGAAGGAGTCAGTGAGATGTGTGATGAGTTAAACAAAGAACTGCATCTTAGATTGTTCACGACAAAAGTTTGAGTTTCTGTGATTTAGCCCCAGCAGCATTTTTACATGGCTGGAAAAGATGTTGAAGACACTTCATGTTTGAATTTTTTCCAAAGTTGTTGGTAGGAATTCAAGTCAGGAATCCATAGAGGCCAGTTTAGTTCCTCAACATCTCGTCAAGAATGACAGATTTTCTGAAAAATGCCTTTTTTAGAGTTCACTGTACGGTTTTAATCATAATCTCACTACTGGATGTAGTTGTGGTTTTATTTTGATTTAAAAAACAAGTCGTTCCTTTTTTAGGAACATATATAGGGCGCTGTTAACTCTGCAGAGTGAGATGTAAAGTCTATGTTCATAGATCTGAGTTTGTGGCTTCGAAACAGCTAAATGTTTTGCCATCATCAGTGAAATCTTTTCTTAGGAGGTTGTAGAACGAAAGAATTTGCTTGAATTTGCATGATTTGACCATATTATTGATTGATATGCATCTACAACTTGCCTCTGCCTCCAGTTTGGTCCTGGATTATGAGGAGCTCAGCGCTTTTAAAAGTTAAATTTTTTTTTACTACTGAAAACAACAACATATCCAGACACAGTTTGACGTATTTCATATTTACCTCGCAAAACTTGAAAAGGATCCTAACAGAGTATTTTGATGCGAGCCCCCTGCAGAATCCTACTGAGGGACTCTGTGTTTATGTGCATAATTCCATCTGCAGCAGCGCAGCTGGCTACATTTTCAGTTCTCCTCCTTCCCATCACTTGTCTCTATGCTCAAGCACTTTTAATTAATTCATGTATGCAGTGCTTCAATCTCACTCAGCAGACGTTCAAAGCTTGCATACTTGTAATCTAATGTGAGACATTTCCTGATCACAACAAATGTGGGACAGACATTCCAATTACACACCTCTTGAATATGGCTGTTTACAGAAGCATTACCATGCTGGAGTATTGTGATTCATTTGCATTCAGTTTTAATAAAGTTTGAATGTATCTTGGTTAGACTTCTGTTTCCAGCAATGTAGTAATTTTGTAGTTTTGTATTTATTAACAGGGCAGTTTTTGGAATAATAGCTGCGGAAAATAATTGCAAATGCCAACTATTCTGGGGAAAATTCTGTTACTGTGTACAGTCTGCCTCAGGGTTAGCTCTAATCTGTTTTTCCTTTTTTTAGTGTGATTATTTCCTTGTGTTTGACACACAAGACGTGTAAGAAATAATCAATTTTCGAGACTAAAGAAAGATTTGTCTTGTTTTTCTTTTCTTGCTTCTGCAAGGAAAGGATGATGAGTGGTGAATAGTTTCCACCCCCCAAATGAGAAGTTGCTCTTTGCAAAGATTTCTCAGTGTGCACTGGTTTGTTCTGGTGAACAAAGATGTGGCCTTTGCTGTTTGAATAACATTAAAGGTAAGACTGTATTGATAAAGTTAACTGTGTCTGCTCAAATATTGGTCAGATTGCAGCCATGGAATCATTTGTACTACAAAATTAGACAATGACGACAAAGAGGACGACATAAATCATTACAAAAACGCAAAATGTTGACAAACTAAACATAGAAAGAGCACAAACGGGCAATAATGAGCACAACAACAACACAGAAAAAAGATAAGTGGTCCCAGTTAGACCAAACATAAAAATTTAAAATTTGTTTTAATAGAGAAATGATCCCCTAACAGGTTCATTTTTATTGGTTTCATGCATTCACTGCAAACGAGTAGCTTATGTGTTAATACCAGCATTCTCATAGCTTACAGGAATTACATAATATCTCTCTGAAATTCAATTGAACATGAAAAAAACATTCAAATGGCTCCTGTCTTACATTATATTATATATTCTCATAGACTGACCATGAGAACATCTTTCATTTTTAGTTTTGTTAGTTAAAGCAAAGCTGGAAATAATTGTTTGCAAGACTCGATGTCGATCAGTGGGAATTTTTGCTCTATCCTCATTAAACATCAATAAACGTGACCTTTGTCAGTGACCAGGATATTAACAGTTTGACATCAGAGTTCTCATATTGAAAATACTCTCACACTCTCCCCTTTATATTTTATGGTTTGAGAGGCAGGAAAGATGACAGGCTTCTCTCATCAGTCCTGTGGATTTAACCGAAAATGTTCAGTCTAAAATCTAAACGTTTTGATCCCTCATCTGCAAATAGTGGTTTAAAAAAGGTGTGAGTTTGTCTGTCGGATAAGGATGCTTTTGTGTGTCTGACAGACGGAGCACATGTTGTGGTTGAGGTCAATTAACGTGATGGCAGCATCCAAAAAAGAGCAGCCCAAGTGCTATCACATGTGTATCAGCATAATGCTTTTACTATTTTTAGCAAGTAAAGTAATCCACCATTTTCTGTACCTGCTCATTCCAATTCAGGGTCATGTTGAGGCAGTGGATTACTACAGGTGGCCTGCCCTTCACAGAGAGCCTCGCCCACAGGCAAACAACCTTGCACACTCACAGCTTCAATTTAGAGTCACCAGTGAGCCTACTTAATCTTTCAGATAGCGGGAGGAAGCCAAAGTACCCACAGAGAACTCACAAAGGCATAAATGAAACTTGCATTGTTCACACAGAAAGACCGGCAACCCCCCTGTGCTCTGAGAGTACGGTGCTAACCGTGCAGCTCTCATAAAACCTGGGCCCACTTTAATCCAGCCCTATATTGAATGCCATCTTTGATGACTGGAGTATTCTTCAAATTGATTATCTTTTTGGGGGCATCCTTGAAAATCCTGCTTTGCCGTGACAAAAACTCCACTCAGCTTTGAAGTGAGGGCTCAATCAAATACTGAGAATCTAGTGCTCGGTGCTTTCTCCGTCCACTCAGACCATCCATTCACAGAAATAAATTTGAGCCTGACTGAAAACAAACAGCATCACACTGCCCTGACGGGGACAGCGTGATGGCCTCAATAAGGGCAGTGTGTGGACATTTTGATTGTAGCTTTTTCTAGATTCTGAGAGCTTTTCATGGAGCTCTACTGCCCCCTGTTGGAGGAGGTCTTTCTTATCTAGAACTTGGTTAGTAAAAGATTAAGGTGTTATAACTTTTGATTGAAATAGCAAGCAGAGTGAGCGCAGATGCATTTATGCTGTTTTTTTCTCATACAAACATCCCTCCCTGACTGGTATTATACATATAACTTTGAACTTGGCAAAGTAGGAGAGTATTTCTATTTCTATACTACTTTCTCATTATTCATATTCATTTCAATGATGTTTTAAGTGGTTCAAAGTCCTTGGTACCTGACTTAATTCAGCGGTTGAAAGAAATAGATGATTTTCTGTTTCTTACTGAGATTAGAGAGAACCTGCTATGATTTTAAACTCAATATTTGTATGCAGGTCACACATTTAAAATGCCTTCATTGGTAAATCCTCAGAAAGAATAAATAAAACAGTTGTGGAAATTGAAATGGTATGATCAGGTGTTATCAAAACAACTGTAGTTAAAATACATTTTCAGAAGAAGGTGCTTTGTCTGAATACGTGAATGGACACACATGGCCTTTTTCTTTCTTTCCTGCCTCTGCCTTGTTTTCGATCTCTCTCGACTGATTCCTGCTGATTGTGTTGACAAAAAATCATTGGAAGCCACAGGAAGCCAGTATTGCTTTACAGGCACAGAGACTTTTCCCGTTCTGCCCTCAGTAAAATGTTGATTTTCCTCACATTCATTCCTAATTGTCAGGTTTGTGAAATGTAGCTGTTGTGTGTTGTTCTGTTTTCCAGAGGAGATCCTCCAGACCCACATAGCCCACTGGTGGTCTCCGGATGGGCTACGTTTGGCATACATGACCATCAACGACACGCTGGTGCCAAAAATGGAGGTCATCTTTCTCACAGGGACCTCGTATCCCACCAGCATGGACTATCACTACCCCAAGGTAAAACCACGGCAACCCTCACATCCATTCTACAGCTGAGCAAAGTCAGAGACATTTAAACTGATGTGTCATAGACATGTGACTGTCATAATGTCACAGAAGTGGCTGACGAGAATTACACTCTCTAAATTAAATAAATGTTCGAGGTATCATCACAGTATTTTTGCTGCTTCTAGATATTAAAGCCCTATTCATCTTTCTCATTGAAAGAAGGGCTTTTTTTAATCTGTCCCTATTGAATCATCCTCCAAAATGAGTTCAGCAGTCTTTGATTCTGTTAAAAGAAAAAGCTTGTGTGCATAAAATGTTTTGAAAAGCTCCTGAGAGCCATTAAGTGATTCATGCGCCATTTAAGTCACTTGATATTCTCTGATCCTTTGATCCCGAGACTATGAGATTTATTAAGTGGGTATAAAAAATCTGTAGATGATATTTTACACTGTGGCCCATTATCTCAAGTGGCCAAAATGAGTCAATTGTGTTAATTCATATTAGAACTTTGAATTAAACTCAAACAACTTTCTTTTTCTTTTAACACAAACTGAAATGTCTTGGATCGGAATTCAGACTCACCCACAGCATCTAATTTTCTCCTGCAGGCTGGAGAAGAAAACCCCACGGTGCACTTGTCAGTGGTGAGTCTCCACGGTCCTCTGCACACCGTGGTGATGAGGAAACCTGACGACCCCCGGATCGGGTAAGTGACAGCCTGTCCGGGCTCCATTGTGCTCGAAGCAACAGGCACTAAAAATACCCCTGACGTCTTCTCTTTGAAGAGACAGAGGTTGTCAGAGGTGGGATGTATTCTCACCTGTTTTTTTGTTTTTTTTTCCAGGAGGGAATATTACATCACCATGGTCAAATGGGCCACCAACACTAAACTGGCCGTCAACTGGCTGAACAGAGCACAGAACAACTCCATCCTGACTCTGTGTGAAGCCACCACTGGAGTCTGCATTAAGGTGACACAGTGTTCAGACTTTATTTTTAATAAACTGCCTAAATAATAAAGCATTCAGCATTCTGCTGCCGCTAAAAAAAACATTAGAACTCAAAGTTTTCGCATGAAAACAATAATATGACATCAGTGTTGAACTGCTAAAAAATGTTACTTATTTTTTGTTAGAATATTTTGGCTTTGAGTGAGACTTCACATCTGTACACGCACACAGTATTTTTGCTCGATATGTTAACTTATGTATTCACGCTTTGTTGTTGGACTCAGAAACATGAAGATGAGAGTGAGAGCTGGTTGCATCGACAGGTATGTGATGAAAGCAATATACTGCACAATAGTAAAAAAAGAAATTGGATTATTTTGTTTAAGAAATAAGCAAATAACTGGTGTTTGGGGACATAAACATGACACTTTACCTGCAGAATGAACCACCACTCTTTTCCAAAGACGGACACAAGTTCTTTTTCACCAGAGCAATCCCTCAGGGTGGGAGAGGAAAGTTTTTCCACATCTCTATGTCCACTTCGATGGTAAGTAGCAGCAGAGCTACTCCTCAACAGTAACTGTCCTGTCAGGTTTGGTCATTTAATGTCTTATTTTTTTCAGCCTAACACAAGTACAGACATCCTTCAGTCCCTGACCACTGGAGACTGGGATGTTACCAGCATCTTGGCCTACAATCACGAAAGAAACCTAATGTAAGTACATCTGATGCTTTTGTATCCGCATTTTTAAAAGGCTGTGTTGTAGAATAAATTACATTATTTTAACTTTGGAATGATTCACAGATACTTTCTGAGCACAGAGGACAACCCAAAACGACGGCACTTATACAGGTGAGATTATGCTGGAGGTTAGATTTAAGTTATAAAGGTTAATGTTTCATCACGTGATCCTTACAAAGTCCTTAAAGGAGATCAATACAATGTTACATGAGCCGTAAGACTAAACGGATCAGACGAATACTCTATTTAACAACAACCAAAGCTGAAAACAGACAAAGTAGCAATGCCCCTGATCGTGGGCAGGTGTGTGTTTGCACTATGTCATGGAGGACATGCATCAGTAATAATCCCAAAGAAACAGTTGTTGCTTCCCATTAATCTATTAAGGGCCATAAGGCCATTTTCACAACATCACACCCTCTGCCAAAGGTTATTCACAGGTGGATCATTTTGTAAGACAGCTATCAATCTTCCTAGAGGTGGTCCTCTGAGCCTTGCTCCTAGCAGAACAAACACCCGACAGCTACATCCCCACCAAGAGCTCAGGCTCATAACGTCTAATCTGATCCAATCGCGTGATTCGGGGAAAATGAGAAGCTGTTGCGATGATCCAGTTAGAGTTCAACCCTCAAGTCTGATTTTAAATGCTGGAACAAGACTTCAGGGGAGAAGTATATAAATAGATGGTCGCAGACCTCAATGAACACACAAGTTTTTTTTAAAAAGAAGATTGGACCAAAAATTCCACTTCAGTGATGTGACTGGCAACGCCATAGAAAAAAAAGTTACTGCTAAATGAGGTTAAACAAGCTAAATATTAACAGTTGAATATTATATGAGCTGCTGTTAATCCGAGGCTGTGTTTCTATCATTGTAAGACATTTTGAAGACTAAATCGTTTTTGGGAGATCCTTAATACAAAACCACATAAACTGAAATGATGTCATTCCACAGTGCGGACACAATCACCCCATTCAACCGCTGTTGCCTGTCCTGCGAGCTGAAGTGCGGCTATGTGGAGGTTTCATTCAGCCACGACATGCAGTACTTCCTACTCAACTGCAAAGGTGAGCCTCCTGTTCCTTGGATCTCCTTGCAGCTGTTTTCCTGAGAGGGAAAGCCTCCTGGGTTAGGGGCTGTGCTCTGCGGAAAGTGTAATTGAATCAGAGCCATGTGATCCAACTTCTGCTGTGACCTCGTAATGAGCCACAGTAAAAAATAAATAAATAAATACATTTGGAAATCAGACCGCATGCCAACAGTCAGTTGGGTTAAGCTCAGCTGCTGGCAGAGCGTGAGGGTTTGTGCTTCACGGAGAGGGGATTGATGTCAGTGGTTAACTGTTTTTTTCTTTTTCTTCCGGAGGATAATCTTCAACACTGGGCAACAAAATCCCTGTTTCTGTAGAAGCTGATTTGTTAAGGAGGCTCGTTCCGTAGAACAAAAGTGTCAGTGGCTCTCGTTATTAATTGGATCTTTGGAGAGTGGTCTCACTGTGAAATAACACAGTAAGCTATTTCCCTGATGGGATGAGAGTAGATTAACTGTAGAGCTGACTGAGAGGGCTGTTTCTGCACTCTATCTAAGACAGTGGGGTTGTGTTTCAGTGTCGATTACCAGCTCGTTGGAGGCATTTGAGACTTTAATCTTGTCTTCCTGCGTGATATTTGATCATTTTCTATCAAATCAGCAGTTATCTTTTTCACTAGTGTTAACTGCTTGTTTTTCCCCTCACTGTTCTTCAGGTCCAGATATACCCAGTGTAGCTGTGTACAGCACTGAGGACAAACAGAGTGAGTGTTCCGCCGGAACAACACCACCTACAGGACGGATGGGGCTGGAGCTGTTGCTCGAAGGAGAGCTTGTAACCGGCTTTTCGTTTGACCCACAGAGATTTTTGACGTGGAGCGGAACGAGAGAGTGAACGACACATACAACAACATGCAGATGCCAATATTAGAGAACAAGATCATCACCATAGACGATTACAGTGAGCATCCATCCTGACGCGGCAGTTTTTGTCCTGAGATTCCCGTTGACCTTGTCCCTTCCGTTCTAGCGCTGACGATGCAGATTCTAAAGCCCGCCGGGTTTGTGGAAACATCCCACTATCCGCTGCTCCTGCTAGTGTGAGTGTTCATTTATGGGTTTGTTCCAAAAACATTCATGCAGAAGCTTGAAATAATATCCCATGCCTACAGAGTGACTCAAACATTTATTTTGTTCTTTAAATCTGTGAGACTCTACACAGATTTTTTTTCTTTTTGACTATAATGCAAAATAAATGATTTTTCTTTAAAAAAGGCACTCCTTGCTCAATACCATTGCAGTATTAAACATACACTAGAGATAAAAACTAAAACTATTTTAAAAAGAAAAAGTTACAAAATGCACTGGTGATGTGTGCACTATGACGATGAAATCATGCTTTTTAACGTTAGATCATTTAAATAGTTATTTCTGACTCATCAGTCAACATATTTGGATGCGTGGTTTACAGTCTGTTCCCTTGTGGAAAGACAGCAACAAAAAAAAAAGTTTAATGATATAATTTGCAGTATTGTGTAATTTGACAGTTTAACCAAGAACTCTTTCTAACAAAAAGAAAAAAAAAGGGGGGAAAAAAGAAGTAGACTTGAACAAAGTCTAACCAGACCACCGTTAACCAACATGCCTTGTTCATTGGTTTGATGTGCTGTTTTGAGACCCACCGCTCAAAGTTCTCCACCCTGCTGTCTGGATTCTTCCCAGAGATGGCACACCTGGCGGGCAGATGGTGACGGAACAGTTCCAGGTGGACTGGGCCACTGTCCTGGTCAGCAGCTTCAGCACCATCGTCATCCGCTTCGACGGCCACGGCAGCGGTTTCCGGGGCACCAACCTCCTCCACAAGGTCCGCAGGAGACTGGGCAAGCTGGAGGAGAGGGATCAGCTAGAGGCACTGAGGTAGGACTTTTTTTTTTTACCACAGCCCCAACTAACACGGAGGGAGCCGGAGGCTGTTAGTTAAGGGCTTTCCGTTGTCCTTCTGTTTCAGATTCATATCCAAAGAGCCTTACATTGATAAGAGTCGAATGGGGGTTTATGGAAAGGTAAGGAAAGGAGCTTTTCAAAAGGATGAAAAGATTCTGGGTTTTTGGTCATCTCTAACTGACAGAAAGTCCTCTTAAGAGCGTCGTTCAGTTGTGTTTTTTTTGTGTTTGGTAGGCCTACGGGGGATATCTGGCAACGCTGCTTCTGAGCTCTGAGGAGTTCACGCAGCTGAAATGTGGAGCAGCCGTGTCGCCCATCACAGACTTTGAGCTCTACGGTACCATTTTCATGAGCTTCTTGAATGAATGACCTAAAGATATGATGCTACTGGAGCTGTAAAAGGTCCCAAATCCTTCTGAGCCTGGTTTTGTATTTTTCTAACTGCAGCATCAGCATTTTCTGAGCGATACCTTGGCCCAAGGACGGATTCCCGAGTATACACAGTAAAGTTTCAAAACTTTTTTTTTTTAAAGCGGGCAGAGAGGGCGTTAAGTAGATTTATGACGCAACTTATATGTGAGACTGATGACAGTTTCCTCTGTGCTTCTTTCCTCCAGATGGCGAATTTAGCTCACAGAGCGGGTCAGCTGGTGGAGAAACAGTACTTAATAATTCACCCAACTGCAGATGGTAGCACACGATGTTGTCTTTTCTAGATACCGAAGTGAGACATCCATTAATTCAGTGAGCCTAATGTGTGTTTTTATTCTTATCTTCTCCACTACAACAGAAAAGGTTCACTTCCAGCACACAGCCAAATTTATCAACCATTTAATCAGCGAGAAGGCCAATTACACCCTACAGGTGAGCTGGAGGAACTGTTTTTTTTTCTTCCAGAGATGCTTCTGTCCACAGACAGACCTCACTAGACATCTTGTGACAAGCTTAGATATCAGCTAATTATTTGTTTTATGATTGAAATTCTTTGTTTGTTTTTCATGAAGTTATTTTTTTTCCATTGGACCAATAAAGTTATAAGTTATGGCCAACTTGAAAGATGTATCTAAAAGAGTTGGCATTAGGTAAAAGATCAAATATTTTCAAAGCAAATTGTCTTACGGTTTATGCCATTTTTGAGTTTAGAAATTCATGAAAAAACTAAAACAGCTGTTTGCCTAAACTAGTTATTTACATTTCATTGGACTTTTAAACCAAAACTGCATCAAACTTAGTTCTCCGTTTGTCTGAATTCCATCTTTTTGAGTTTCGTTGACAGTTTTTAGTTGAAGCCCAGCTGGATTGTACCCTGCTTTTCACACTATGGCATCTCTGAAAAGTTTCAGTGCTGTAGTAGGAGCTTGTCTTTTTAAACTTACTGACAGGATAAAAAAACAAAAAACAAACTCAATGTCTGATTTTAAACATCTTGATAAAAAATGTATAGAAAACATAGAAAATTGGGGTATTTTCTTACTGAGTTCTTTGTTTTGCTGCTACTCCTTCCTGTCTGCAGATCTATCCGGATGAGGGACACTTCCTGCACAGTGAGGGGACGCAGCAGCACCTGAGCCAATCGCTGGTCAACTTTTTTGAGGAGTGTTTCCGGGAGCCAGAGATGCTGACGGATGACCAGCAGGAAGATAACGAGGAGGACAGTTAAACTCGATCCCTCTAAGCAGCCCTGGCCAGCTACTGTACCACAGCACAATATGCAACAAATCTTTCTATCCTTTAAAAAAAAAAAATCCCCACCACCTGCAGTAAACTCTTGATTTTATCTCCAATCTGAAGCACCTGCATGTGCAAACAGTTCCTCTGCCCACATCCCCTCTCCTCACCTCACTCTGTCCGATGTCGAGGAAACTGGTCAGACGGGACTGGGAAATGGAAACAGACTAGTGCTCCCTCTGGTGGACATGTCAACTCAGTATCCATTCGACAATGCGCCTCTACGGTTGAAATAAGGCACACTAAATGAGAGCTTTGCAGCACAAAAAAGTCCCTCCGCGAAGATCGGCACATCGTGTTGAGATTAAAGTCCGAAAAGCTGCCAGTTTCTGATAATCTTGCCATCTGACTTACTGATTATTGTGTTCATGGGTATGATTATTGCTACTTGTTTCTCAGAATCTCTGTTCAGTGTCTTACAGTTGTTTATTTGTGTGTGTGTGTGTGTGTGTGAGTGGAGGTCTGACTGCATCAGCCCTAGTTGCTTCAGTATATAAAGGCACAACATATGATCTTGTGTTGCACTTACAGTCTTAGAAAAATTAGTTCAAACATGTTTTGTTGGTTCTCAAACTCTTGTTTCTGTCACTGTGCCTTATTGTGGGTAAGATATGCTGAAATGAGCAAAGCGAGATCAGACTACGGTACAGATTCAGCACATTTGTCACAGTAACTTGGACAAAGTGCTAAATGTTAAATGACCAGACATCTGCTTAAGTGTGAAAACCCGGCCCACGAATTTAAACGTTTAGTTTGTCGCCTCGATATCGACCATTCATGTTAGTGAGGGTAACTGGCTGAATTTTACTTTGTGACTTATTGACTCTTTCCTCCTCACTTCTGTTAGTATCGTCAGTGGTTTAAAGTCAGCTGATGTACAAAGTGTATAAAACTGACATTGAGTCTGTATGTTATATGTGCAACTTGTATATAAAGCATTTTGACATGTATTTTTCCCCGTTGGTATTTATTTTAAGCCAGCACAATACAACCTTTGATCCCGAAAAACTGAAGGCTGTGAACAAATTTGTTCTATTCTAACTCAATCCAGGTTTAGTAGAATAATAATTTTAAAAAATGAATAAAAACGCATACAAAATTCTGCCATCGACAAAATTTATTTCCAGTGTTTCAGGAGTCTGTGCACACCCCTCACAACGAGAGAAACACTGCATTGATTCCAATAATCTCAATGAGGTGTCCTCCTACAGCGAATCTCTCCACAGAGAAGTACCAAACTGCCCACAACACCAATTCAGGCCACATGAGCATCATCATCATCATCATCACACAATACTGTACTAAATCCTCCAATCTGATGGGAACGCAAAGTAAGCAGCTAAAACATGGAATTTTTATGTACATTTAAATTACTTATTTTTTTTACAATGAATATTTAAAATTCAAGTTCTGTTAAAAGCAGGAGATGAAAAACAAAGAGGAAAAAGATGTATAAAACGTATTAAGACCAGAGTGGAATGCCAAAAGAATGGAAGCTCGGCATTTTCGTTACCTCAAGAACGACGAGTCAGCGGTAAAATGTCATTCACAGTAACATCTTTGTGTATCTCAACAAACACAGTATGGCACCCAGAACTTTTCAATGTGAGGCACTTTCTTTTGTGAAAGAATCATTATTTCCTGATCCATCTTAACCCTCTTAAACTTCTTCCAACATTTCATCTCCACCCATTTGCCAGTCACTGACGTGTGCGACCACAAACACCAGAGCTCGGCTTAATGTCTGCATCAGGGGGAAGTTGTTCGCTGCTTCATAAACCACAGAGCTGAGATGAATATGAGGGATGGTTCTCCGTTGCATAAGTCCAGTGTCTCTTTGCCACGTCTGTACCTTTGGAAAGGCCTCTGACAGCAGAGAGCTAGTAGGCAGTCACACACAGGCTGTACCAAAAACACAATTCAAGTACACAGAAAAATTAGGGGTATATACACTTGAGAATGAAACGTGAGCATGTAAAGCTTTTTAGTCAGTATTATCGCAGGCGTGTCTGTACATTCTTCATTTGGTTACTGACAGCCTCGGGGGAGGGGGGGGCAGGGCAATGAACATTGTAACCTTCTTTACACAAAAATAGTTCCTCTGCAGTACTAAAAATTCATACTTTATTTTTCTGTCACTACTTCCTATTAATCCTAAATAAGGTAATCCTTAAAAGCAAATCTGCTATACCTCTGAACAATCTTAATTTGTATGGTTGCCCTTCCTTAAACGCACTTCACGGGTTCATTGTGTCATAAGCCACAGGTCCTTTTTTCAGCACAACTTCCAGACAGAAGAATCCCTCGTCCTGAGCCATTCATTGAGAAACCTTGTTTTAAAATAATGAAAAAATTAAAAACAAAGAGGAAAAAAAGAAGTCAAATTTAAAATATATAAACAACTTTTTGTTCCTTGTCTTAAACGGTGAATAAACAACTGTGCAGGGAATCTCTTCTCACACACACCCTCACAGACGCACTCCAGACATTGGTTGTAAACGTGCTCTTTCACTAACGGCTCACACGGACAATACACCGACTCCCAAGTAAGTACACACCTTTGAGACGAACAACACACACGTCGCACACCTCTCACAAGTACTGGTAGAAGCGTGAATGGACCACTTGGGAACTGCTGAGTTTATGGGGGTGAGCGGTGGCGGAGAGGCTCAGGTTTTTACTCGGGTGGCCGTCCCCGTTCGAGGCCTCGGCCGGACGACGCTGGAAATCGGAAGGGGCCGAGGCCCCGGGGTTCTGGGGGCCCGGCGCCCCCTGCTGTTCTAGGAGGTCCAGGCTGACCTCGGGGTTGCTGGTGCGGTGGCGCTCGCGGGCGATCCAGTCCCCGATGGAGAAGTCCTGAGAGCTGCACTTGGGTTTGAGCCGGTCCACGGCCGACAGCTCCGAGCGGGAGCCGGAGCCGATGCCCACCTGCTGCGTCCAGTCCCCGAGAACGGACAGCTCCGCAAAGTCCCGCTGGCCGCCCATGGTGTGCCGGCGCCTGATGTTCTTCTTGCTGCGGCCCTCCGGGGAGCCGCTCCTCTGGCTGCCTACGCCGAACATGTCGTCCACGGACATCCGGAGGCGCACCTTCAGCCGGTCTGTGATCTTCAGTTTCCACGCCGGCTCGGTTTTGTCCAGCTCGCTTCGGGACGAGGAGCTGAGGCTCCCGGTGGAGCGGCCTTTCGCCGAGCCGGACGCGCGGGACGGCCTGCCGGGCTCCTTGTCCAGCGAGGACTCGCTGTCGGTCTTCTGCTGGGCGGCCTTCTTCCTGGAGAGCGTGTCGCACTCGATGAGCCTGTGCGAGGGCAGGGGCCGGGGGGCCTCGGCCGGCTCGCGCGGCTCGGCCTTGCCGACCGTGAACACCGACAGGTCGCTCTCGCTGTCCGTCTCCATCGGCCTGCCCTCGCTGACCAGCTCGCTCCGCTCGTCGTCGGCGTCCTCCCCGCCCCGGCTCTCGGACACCGACTGCACCTCGGGGCTGAGGGCGCTGAGCTCGGCTCCGGTCAGGAACGTCATGGAGGAGGTGGTGGAGTAGTCTGAGGTGATGGAGCACACCTCCGCCCCCAGCCCGCTGGGGCACGTCTCTGCGCCGGTCGCCCCCGCCGCCGCCGCCTTGCCGCGGCGCGCTCTGGGCATGGACGCCTGCGAACTGGTGCTGTTCATCGTACCGAGGTCGGACACTGTGTCGTCACAGTTGGAGGGCGGGTCGGACAGGGAGGACTGGTGGGCCATCGTCGGCAAACGGTAGCCGAGGTTCGGGGAGTGGGGTGGCGAGGCGTAGGGGGACCCGGCCCGGAGGGGCGAGGAAACGTGCTGCGGGGGCAGGGGGGGCGCAGGCCGGGGCTCTTTCCTGCTGCCTTTGCTCGGCTGTTCCTGCGAGCTGCCCGTGTGCTTCTCTTTCTGGCCGCCGTCCCCCGCCTGCCCGTCTTCCTCGGCCCGGCTGTCTGGGGACCACCGAGCTTTCTGCTGGCCGTCCTCCGGGAGCTCCTTCTTGGAGAATACGGGATCCAGGTCGTCGTCGGAGCTGCTGGGTTGAACTTTGTCCTTGGGCTTCTTACGTTTGCGGCTGGCGAAGAAGGAGGAGCGCAGCATTTCCTTGCTACACTGATCCTTCCCTGACCCCCACAAGCCCTGCTGATGTGAAAACAAAGCGCCGTTAGGGAGCCGGAAGATGGTGGCTTTATGAGATATTTACCATTTAAAGAAAATATACAAATAATAATAAATGTACCTTTGATTTGGAGGAGTCACTACCAGCTGAGTCTGTTTAAAAAACAAAAGAGCATCATTAGTAAATGACAGACATCTCTCGATCCTTTGAGAACGTAGAAAGGCGGACCAAGTTGGACCAAAAGATTTAAAGTGACAGAATGAATATCGTGAGAGCAGCTCGACGAAAGCAGATGACACATAGTTGGTCACAGAAGAAGAGGCGGAAGGATGAGTAACCACAGTAAGCTGCAAATGTGAGGTGGAGAAAGCGGCAGAAAGAGCTTGAGATGGGGGATGAGAGGAGGTGGGAACCCGGCAGTAAACCAAGACACAGAAAGCAGCTCATGCTCATGTATCGATGCAATGACGGCACATCACGGACACACACTCCAGTCACAGAGCATCACACGAAGCCACCAGCCAGCTGTGGGCATTCTTTCCCAACTCAAGACGTCACATAGGAGAGGGAGTGGCGAGTTTGCTCTGCCTGAGAGGCTCGATGGGCCTGAGCTGAACAGATCAGTGGGTGTTTGCTGTCGTTACAACTAATCTGGTGAAGGCAAACGTAAGCGTAACGGAGAGGTCCTTCTAACTCCAAAGACACTTCAGCTCCTGCAGTGCACTCTAACATGTGGCCAGAAGCAACGTAAAAGAAAAAAAAAAGCAAAAGGGTTCGCAAAACCTTTCTGGATGAACCGTCTCGCAGTGATAACATGCAAAATGTGTCTGACAAAGGCAAGCCGACAAACAGCCCTTTCCGTGCAAATAGTGACAGGAACTTTGGGGGGCACAGAAAACGAGGGTTCGCAGCACATCAGTCTGAATCGCTCTAACCCATCACATGGTGAAACGCTTTAGCTATTCTACAAACTGTGGCTTATGAAAAATCCTCCAAAGAGCTGAGTAGATCTCTTTAACCCTCAAAGCTGGTTTACCCTCCTATTGGTCGAAGGTTCACGTGAACAGTAATAAAGTTATTATCATGAATAAATTAACAAGAGGTCAACAACTAAGTAGTGGAAAAGTCCAAACCTTTGGCTCTGCAAGTGTATTATCTGCTAAGAACCTCCAAGTATGAAGGTGCTATTTGTATACTCATGTTAAGTGAGAGTTTGTTCAATTCAAACTGGATTTCTACATCACACATCAATGCTTTAGTCCAAATGAAACTGCATTTTTCACAGTTGAGACAAACACATCCCGATAATGTCGTTGCTAGCTGAAGAAGTCCTGCATGGATGTGTGTTTGCATCCCAAAACAAGGACGAAAGGTCAGTTAAACGGTCCAGCTGTGCAAACGCTCGACTAATGAGAACCCACTGAGGGCTTTTCCAAAATGGCAAATTTTCCCCAACAACTCCATTGTGCTTTAAAATAACTGAAGCCATCAGCTCCCTGAAATGCACACAGCAGCCTCAATTCCCCAAAACGAGTCCTGTGCTCCAAAAAGTTCCTGATGTGGAAACGGGCCATCGTTATTTAATATAGGTTCAAATTTAGGATCAAAGTTTGGTGCTGGTGTGTTTATGCAGATGGCGGAGCTGGGTAAGAAGACAGTGACAGACATGTTAGTGACTGATGTGGATGAGGCTGCTCTGTTTGCTTGCCGTTGATGATTTACAATTGTAAAATATTGTATAAATTTGGGTGGGGGAGACACTTAGACATAACATTACAGTCAAATTAAATAAAAAGCAGCGTCTGAAAAACCGAAATAAAAAAAATAAACAAAAGGTTCCACCTACACCTGCATGCTTGGAGCCCTGAGCCCTGTCCACTGTGACCTGACAGCCTGCACACCTCTGCATCACTAAAGCCTTGTTAGGCTGGATCGTGGTTGTGTGTATGGATTGTTTGTTTTGTGTCAACACGTGTGTGCTGGGGAACATCCAGCTCAGTCCCAACACTGCGACACCCACCCTCAGACATTATGACAGGCTATGCCACATGACCGGGAGAGAACCCGAGGTTGACCGTACCATGCTACTTGTCCTTGCGATCAGCTTAAGAGACAACAAGAGACAGCAGAAGGGCTTTCAGAGAAAGGGAAGCAGCATTGCTCTGTATCCCCTCAAGTTAGGGTATTGGTTTAAATATGAGACGTGCACACCACAGGAAAAATGACAAACACCGACTTCTCTTTCTTTCTTTTTTATCTTTTTTCCTCCATTCGCCCAAATTTAAAAGAGCTGCGGGTTTCTGCAGACTAGGCAGCTACACTGGGCACAACACTCGTCCTTCTTCCTACAGTCCCAGCTGTCCATCACTGACATAACAGAGCCCATCAGTGACATCATCGAGTGATAGACGCCGCCCACTTGGCCTGTGTCAAGATTGGGTAATGTGTGAGTGCTGGACAGGAATAAGGGAGAAAAACAACACACTACACACAGAATGGCACAGGTCAGAAGGGTTAAACTTCCATAGGTTTTGTTTCGTTTGTGGAGATTTTCTTTGGGAAAGAACAGGCCGGGATTATGTGAGAGACGAGGAGGAGGGGAAGAAAAGAACTGAAAGAAAAGGAGTCGTCGTCTCAACACAGGTAAAGCACAGGGAGAAAAAGTGACTTAAGCAAGAAAGGAAAAAATAATAGAAAGGCAAAGAAATGAACAGAAATAAAACTTGGACAGTTTTATCTTAGGGCAAAAACAAACAAACAAACAACCAAATAATCAATCAATCAACTTATCCAGAAGATAAATCAATAAATAAATAGAAAAGGCTTGACATAATGCAAGGTGTTTTTCAACTATTTGCCAGTGATGAGATCACAATCATGTTTGCACTGGAAAAGCTCTGAAAAAGCTTGCTTCAACTGAACCACAAACAAAAGTTGGCACTTTAGTTCTTGCTCAAAGCATCTAAATGAATTCAAAAGGAGGGATGGTGCCGAATGTCTTAGCATCTTACATTACAAATTTAAAGCACACCTTTTACTTTCTTGCGATAACTTTAATATAGCAGTGCTGACATAAGCTGACGTCGGAAAGCTGATAAAAAAACGGTTACCTGAGACCTCGGCTGGGGAGGTTGGAGTCCGCCCGATATTAGAGAGCAGGTGGCCGATGTTTGGCACAGGCTGAGACTGCACTGTGCTCTCCTGCTCAGCTGTAGTCTGCAGAAATAATGGAGGAAGGACGAGGAAAAAGGGGCAAAGGATCAGGCAAGATTTGACATTTACATTTTATTTTATATGTCTATATATTTTGACTCTGCAAAGTTACAGAACTTATTACCATGTCATTCGATGTTCCACCGTGGCTTAAAAGCCTAAACTCAGATTTATCTATATAAAACATAAGAAAAGTAACAATAAAATATAAAAATCACGTACAACGGGATCCTCCTGACAGTCATCACTGAAGAACCAGTCGAATTGCTGGATGAGGTTCTCAACTATCTTGCACTGGTCAGGCATGTGATTGACCATGTTGGTCATGTTGTCTTCAGAGGTTCTGACCAGCGTAGGACCAAACACGATCGCCAGGTTACGGGGCTCCATCTGCACAGTTCAGATACAGGAGAGCCTGATGAAATGAGGGGCTCGTCGGGGGAAAGACTCGGGGACTCAGGAGAAGCAGGGCACACCTTGTTCTTTTCACAGTTGTCAGAAACCTTCTTGAGGTGAGCGCAGAGAAATTTCAGAGTTTCAAAGTGATGATCGGGCAGTTCATAAATCTGCGAAAAGGGATATGTTAGGGACAGTGCTTCACGGTCAACGTGATCTGCCCGGAGTTAAAGCAATCCAACCGCGTGTGGCTCATTTCAGAGCTAACTCACCAGCCTCTTCAGCTCCTTGAGTCTCTCCACTGAGTCTTCTGTTCGGCTGGCTTCAATAAAGTCAGCATACTTTTCTGTGAGCACAGCACGAAAAGGGGTTGCAACGGAGCTAAATTCACCATCGATCCCGTATTTTTCACAATTTTGAACCTTGACTGCGAGTAAAGGATCTTACCATTTGTAAACAGAGGTTCTGGAAGTTTTCGGAAAAAAGACTTTAATAAACTACTGATGACATTAAGGTCCCGCCATTTCTGCAGATCAGTAAAAGGTTGCAACAGCGTCACGTTAGGAGAGAAATCGAATCGCCTACTGAGGTGTTTTGGGAGTTACTCACGTCTTCCTGGATGTCGATGTCATTCATGCCTTTGCTGTTGAGTTCCTCTTGCATGCTGGAGATGGCAGCGTTGTTCCCGGGGACCCTGTAGATGCCAGTGTACTCCAGTCCGCGCTCCTCCACGACATTGCAGCACACCTCCACGATGAGGGGAACAAACTGCATAACACACAGCAGGGAGACATAGCACAGGGAAACTCTTCAGCGACGCTGCGTAAAATGGCGTGTTAGTAACATAAGCGACCGCCTAACGGTAAGAAGGGTGTCACGTCGTGGTCTGAGAGCAAAGACAGAGCAGAGACCCACCCTGTTGCTCTGTGCAGGTGGACAATCATCAAGCCGGACGCCAAAAGTGATGCCGGCGGGAGTCTTCTTTTCAAAGGGTTTCCTCATGATCCCAGCAATGCCAATTTTCCAGGCGCCCCTGTCCCGAGGAGGACTGGAATCATCTGCCAAGGTACACATGCGTAAATGCGTGACACAGGGGTGTGCCCACAGGAAATGCTTTAGAGCCAGTATTCTTCTCACCTTTCAGAGCCCTTCGCTCCTCTCCTGTTCTGGGCGAATGGGGACTGTGGATCTTGCCGTCCGTTTTGCCTCCCAGGAAGGCTTGTTTGATGCTGAGGGACTGCCGGGACGGCTTTGGGGAGGGTTCTGATCGGCTGCTTGGTGCGCTTCGAGAAACACAGAAGAAATTTGAACGGAAGAATGAAAACCGATAGTGATTGGCGCGCTTAAAATGGGCAGACATGTCTTGTGGTGTCCTGCACACCTCATCATGTTGTATTCTTTGATCTTTCTACTGATCAGGTCCTGGCTTGTTACAGCAGCATTCTGTAATGACAATAAGAACACAGGGAGAGGGGGGGTTGTCAGAGTAGACAAAGAACACAAGTTTGACTTCTAATCCAGGTAGCCACCTAATGTAACACCTTAAAATAATTCAAATAAAAAAATGGACAACAACAAGTTCTCATAATCATTAACCCTGACTTGGCCACTCGGTGGAACACAAAAGATAAGTCTGGCTGTAAGCACACACCTCTTCGTCTGGATTACTGTTTTCCTGAATGACTCTGATCCATGAAAGCATGTCGTCCCTCCCTTCTGCCTGGAACAAATACTCGCAGTCTGAGGTGGTTAATCTCAGTACATTTTTGCGCCTCGTCTCGCTGTAGGAGATGTCGATCAGGCAGGCCTTGACGCTTATTTGAAGTGGGTCCTCGTCGGATGGCGCGGAGGCCTGAGACAATGCATCCTTCCTGTCTTTGTAGAAGGTCAGCGTGTGACCTTGTAAAACGGCATACATTTGCTTCCATGATCGCATCCCTCCGCCAACACGCTGTCAGAGAGAAAGGAGAGCCACAGAAAAGGATTTTCTTACAAATCAACACATAAGCGATTGCTGTGGTTAGAAAGTAAGGACTAGAAGGAAGAATACCTTATTTTTATCTGTATTGAGTTGTCTGAAGTTAAGCGGTCCTTCTTTGGAAGAGTCAGCAAAGATATCTGAAGAGGAGTCCAGGCGAGATCCAGAATCCCCAGATAATTTATGCCCATCTAGCGCCTGCAAGTGCAAAGGTTTAGTTTTTTGCCCCGGAGTTATATGATGACAACAGAGTAAAACATGGAACATGGGAGAATGTGAGGGTAGGGTGGCATGTAACGAAAATTTGAAGATGCAAACAGACTGGGAAGGACGGCCACCATAAAAATGCACATCCGAAGTAAATCTGGGACAATAGAGATCGTTAAAAAAATACATATTAAATGGGATTTTAAAATTCATAAGACTTGGAAGTGTTGAACCACACGTCTTAACATTTCCACAACCCCGCTAAACAAAGTGGGGGAACAGACCTACATATGGCACAGTAGCAGACAAAAAAAAGCTGTGCAACATCATAAAAGTCGAAAATGTGACTGTTTTGACTCTTTCTCACCTTCCTAAGTCCTCTGAGGCCGGTCATGTGCTTACTTGGAGATCTTCTACATAAAGGAGAATAACAGAATAAGATAAAGTCATCACAAAATTGAGAGGAATGATTCGTGTCCATCCAGAGCCTGTGAGTATCTTATGGCACACTCACCCTCTTCCCTCCTCCTGATAGTTATCCAGACCCTCATCGTAAGACTTGGACCGTTCCGTTTTACTGGCGGCTGAGTCTGAGTCCAACAGAGCACTTCGCAGGGACTCTATACAGCAATGGAAAAATACAAAATGCTTCGTTTTCGCTTACAACTCAACCACGACGGTTTGAGGGTGATGAAAGCATCTAGGATCAATCACAAGTTTAAAAAAAAACCCTGTCAACATGGATATCCATCATCCAGCCAACTGTGGGCTTCTCACCTTGGTCATGTGACAGCTGGCGACGAATGGTGGGACACGGCGAGCCCTGACTGGAGGGTGCTGTAGCGATGGATGGTGCCACAGATATCACAGCGGAGGGAGGAATGGGCGCAGCCTCCCGGTCAACACTGGGGCTGACGGGCTCATCTAGGAGCAAAACAAAGGCAGAAATATGCTCAAAGGGGCTGAAACAAACTATACAAACAAGCAGGATAATTATTTGTGTCACATGAATTAATCGTCGCACATCATTCCCATTTCTTATAATGAACAGAGATATTTAAGAGATGGCAGCCTAAAGTGTCTTTGGATATGATATTCTGTCCAGCATTGACCTACACATTTACTGAATGACAAACCACACATGAGGAACCCGTCAAGAAAGAAAAACCTAAGAGTTATCGATAAATCTTGTTGATGTCGTCTCATGACCTGAAATAAAGATATAAAACAGTACACCATTTCACCCGGGGTTGTGGTGACAATATGCAAATAAATATTGAGCTGACTGACAGCTTGGTGTAGTACAGCTTTCACTAGGAAAGTGGTTTATTATTGAGTTTAACTTCCCCAAGTATATTTCCATGTTTTTATTTGTATATTACTTCAACCCACGATCACCTTCATCTGACTTGTTTTTTCCAAGTGTACGATATAACTTTGATTCAAACCGCATATGATTCTGTTTGAAGATGATTTCAGTAAGTATCACGTGTAGAATTTGAGGGGAAAAAAAATGATCTGCCATTCTTTGAGCACCACAACAAGCATTCTGCAAGACAGCTGCGGTGACACCAGATTATAAACTAATGCTTTCTTCTTAAAGCGAGAAAGGAAGTTTTTAACTCAACTTACACCCACTCCTGGCACTTCAAGCCTGAAACAGCTCAGAGTACAAAGCTGCTCCCCGCAGCCACGGGGCTTTTGGAGCTAAATTTAAAAGCAACTGTCCTACTTCCAGCCTGCACCCAAGACTGAAACTAGGTGAAGAAAAAATAAATAATTAAAAGATCTCCCAAACACTGTTCCACCAACAATTTTTTCCCAAAGGCCTCGCATGTTCAAAGTTCCATCAGCAAAAAAGAAAGAAGAAAAAAACAAAAAAACAGAAACGCCATTAAGAAAAACAAATCACACTGGACGATCTGGACTAATCTGGAAAGTTGATCAACTATATAATAGCCCACACAACAACTTGTTGAATACATGTCCACAATCACCAGAGTCACTGCCTGCTTTGCTTGCAGCTGACCAGACCGGCTTCCTTAACTACTGAAATGACCAGCAGAGCCTGCTCAGAGGGTTTACCTCTGAGATTGGTCAGTTAAAAAACACTTTTCTTTTTCTGAACCATGACGATTTCCTAGATTCAACACAACAGAAGCGGGTGAAGCTTTGCAAAATGCCTACTAAAGTAAACTGACAATCAACAGATGCACAGGCAGATGTAGCGCCAGAGGTTTTTTTAAAATTATTAATTATTGAAAGAAGTAAAAAGATAATCTAAATGAAGAAGAGAGAGAAAAATTGAAACATTGGTTTTAAACTGGTAGTAGTACGTTACTGTGACCAGAAGGTTGCAGTAATGGGCCCAACTCTCTGCCTACTGCCATGGGAACCATTACGCCCAGGCCACAGCACAACACCACATCTGCTAACAGTGCTGCAATAATAGCTACATGCAAAGGTCACGGCCATAACTGTCAACACATCTATGAGTTCAAGTTCAGTTTACTTTTATTAATTATAGTCCGGCATCCCGTGCAATGAAATTCAACATTTCAGTTCAACCCGTCTATCTGTGAGGAACCTTATCCAAAAGCAACCCAGCTTTCTTTTATCAGCTACTGTTATTGGTGGAATTTCTATACATATATATATTTAACTGTTTACAAGTCTACGGTAAACGTTTCTTCATATCATACTACTGTGTGGCTAATGTAAAAAATAAAACAAATATTGATTGAGTAAATACTGTGTGACCTCTAATAGTATTTTCAAATAAAATAAAAATAATATCAGTCCATTCAAAACAGAAATCCAAATAGAAAATGAGTAATTCTTTATCAATAAGCTGGCTATTATAATATGAAAACAACACAAATTTTGTTTATAGCGAGATGCGCACCGCAGCCATTTCTAAAAATCCATCCACTTTATACACCGCAAAAGTCATTATGGGGCATTTTAACCATAATGTAATCTAATCTGACGAGACATCTAAGAAAACAATATATTAAGAAGCGAAATTCAATCCATCTCTTCAGTGCCCTGGTTAAGTCAACCATCCCACAACCCTTTTCTGAGTCAAAACCTGATCAATAACATCTTTCCAGGATTATAACTCTGCACTTTGCGTATGGCCATGGCACTAATGCTATGCTTAAATGTCCATAATATTATTACTGTCACTCCATCAGTGTTCACTGAAACTTAAAAATTCTCAAGAGAGCTGAGAACGTGTGTTTTCCGTCCCCATACGTCTGGATGGCGTAAATTAACACAATATGGAACGGTACTGTCCTGAGGGGAAAAAGAGTGAAGGAATAGAGTGAAAGAGGGGTGTTTTTTAAAGAGATAAGCTGAAGCATATAGTTGCATTTGAGAGTGTTTTATGTCTACTGTTGAGTAGACCATCAACAACTGTGAAACAGCTGCTACGTTTCAAAGAGAATGAGAGCGATTTGGGAGAATGCTTCTTCTGAACTGAGGCATGTGAATACCATATGTGTTTTTTTGCAAACTTTGGGAAGTATATATGTAACATATGTCCTGATAGCAATGTTTAGCCTCAGTAGGTTATGGGTTAACATGTAAATGAATTTCTCCACATGTTTTAATCAAACTGATTTAGATCAAACAGAATCACAGAAGAAACTATAGCAGTTGCTCTGTGCTGGGTTTTCAATAGAATTATCTATTATAAAGCTTTCTCTCAGGCTATGGTGAGTACTGTGGCATTGCTAATACTGTTAAAATCTGAACTAATTTACTCCTGCGTGGTGTAGTGTCATGGTAACAAGACTTAGGCCTGATCATGTTCTTACCGATGAATGGTATGGAGTCCAGAGACTCATCGAGGTTGCTTGAGCTGGAGGCATGACGTTGTTCCCCGAGGCGCCGGATGTGCATTTCTCTGCGTGCATCATTGGGAAGCCAGCAGGCCACAACATCTGCTGATGGGTCTGTGCCTTCATCATTCACTGCCAGGATATAAGAAGGATGCCGTAAGGGGCTGGGGTTCTTTCCAGAAGGTGGCTTCTCCCTTAGAACCACCTCAGTCTCTGTGGGGCTCTGACCATTGACCTGACTCTGAGAGTTTGTAGGAGTTGTTTTGAGGATACCAGGCCTCTGAGGTATCTCTTTCGTGGTAGAGCAAGATAAAGTACCGAGTCCTTCCAAAGCTCCATCTCGGCCTGCTTCAAAGAGCTGCATGGCTTCTCTCTGCGTCCTGCTCAGGCTTTGTTGACTAGAATGGCCTGATTTCTGTCCTTTGACTGAAACCCTTTGGTCAGAGAAAGACTGTTCAGAACTTGTGCTCTTTCCGAAAAGTTGAGGTCGGTCAGAGAGCATGGGTGAGGAACGAGTCTGAAGAGAATCTGGTCCTTTAGAATACAGGGAGGAGTTGGGTGTCCCTTTCATGCCACCACTGTATCCAGCTGAAGGCTTGTAGAGCATAGCATGTCTAGGAACAGACTGTCTGCTGGGCCTTGTGCTTTGGTCTGCTCTTCCATACCCTCCTCTCCTCTCATTGGGTCGAACCAGTTCTGAAGCTTCGGCGTAGTCGGTTGAGCGAGCCCGAGCTTTATGAACAAGGCCATCTTGAGATACACTCCGTGGCGCCCAGTTCCTTGCATGGCTCATCTTCTCTGCACTACTCATGCGATCCTGTGAGACACTGCGTGGTGCAATTTGAAAGTTGGGTGGTGGTCCTTGGTATGAGCGCTCATGGGAAGTACTCCGACGTCGTATTGCCCTGGGCCCCCAGTCTCCTCGTGGAATGTGGTGAGCGGTGTTAAAGGGGGGCTGACTGGCAGTCCGCAAGTTGTCCAGTCTCTCCTGTATAGTCCGACTTCCATGGGAATGAATTCCTTTGTTGTCAATGTATTCCCTGTATGTTTGGTAAGTGCGCCAATCAATATTTTGATGATTGCCTGGATAGTGAGGTCCTTGACCAAATGGAACCATTCCTGGACCACCGGGATAAACGTCGGCCTTTCGAGGGCGAGGATAGTGGGCCAGTGACCCAGGTCTTCCCCTAACAAAGGCAGGGTCCACGTAATCCATTCTTTGAGCTGGACCTAAGCGGCCTACATGGGCTGCATTTGGAGGAACCACCACAGTCCTGACGCTGTCATTACGCATGCACACTGCCATTTGGCTTTTGGGATATGTTTGAGGAGGAGGAGGAGGAGGAGGAGGAGGAGATGGAGGTACAGTGATCTCTTTGCGATAACCATGGTCGGGACCTGTTGGTGGCCCTCGGCAGACCTGCCCGACAGTCTCTGCTGCCTGGGCCATGCCCGGAGGCTTACAGTCTACTCTGGGGTAGCACACTGGGGGTGGATCAGGGATGTGGCAGGCATTTCCACTGTAACTACTGTGGCCTCGGATGTAGGCATCCTGGGAGTAGGCCTGGAGACAGAGCAGAAAAACAGTGTTAAAACATCCAAGTACAAGCAGCAAGTGAATCAAAATTTTCAACACTGTGGTACAAGATGCTTACAGAGAAGTCAAGTGTGATATTACAAATGTTACTGGATGCAAGTGTGTAGGCAGAGCATGTTGCAGTATGAGTAAGCGGAGGCGTTCTAAGCAGTTCAGGGGTGTCACTGGTCTTCATCTGCTCCTGATTTAGAATGTTCATGGGACTTACAGTATTTTTACGAAAAGCCACAAAAAGACTAAACAATGGTCTTTAAACGATCTGACAATTGGCATTTTTCTAAAATATTTCAGTCTGTGTTCTTCAAGTCTCCAAATGTCTGACACATTCAGGCAAAGCTTACTTCATTTGCAAACACTGAGATAATTATGGAACATTATGCATGTTTACAGAGCCCCAGAATTGTGAATTTCTGAAATGACTGTCCAACAACACACATGACGGCTTATACAATGAGAAATTTCAACAAAAGTTCTAAAATTAATCCAATACAAAACAGATATACATGTGCAAAATGACATCCCCCATACCTACCTCGGACTGACAGACTATAACCTCAGACAGACAGCAGGTTGCCCATCCCTTATAGAGAAGGTGCTATATATAGACTGCTTGATAATTATCCATGGCTTGAAAGCCTGTAGTATTTTATCTGTGTGTGTGGGGGGGGGGGGGGGGGCTTTAGTAAATACAAAATTACAGCTGGACATTTTTCTAAAACATAGACACAGTGCCTGAAAGACTATTAAGTATCTACTTCACTTACAATATAATGTACATTTAATGGGCAGGAGACACGTAAAGGTATGAGGACACTGATACTGTCACAACCCCAGGTCAGATGACAATCGCATAAAAAGCCGTGTACCACAGCAATCGCTGTCAGGCACAGCTTCTTCTTTCACAAGCATCACTGCATGGGAGAGTTCAGAGGTCAGTGGCCTTTATCACACTAATGACATCTGACACGGAGGATAAACAAGGGGCGAGGCTGGACTTGGATACCAGCTGGATGCCAGCTAAAGCTCTAAATCTAACAGGTACTGCAGGCACAGTGCATCAGCCATTTCTGCCGTGTAAACATTCAAATCATAAGCATAGACAGGACCGAGAAATACGGAGTCACAACAACTAAATGGCAGTAATGTAAAGCCTAAACACATCACCATGTTACGATGATGACATGCATGAGGGACATGCAACATGATACGGCGAGTACAACATGTCAACATCGAGCAGCCACCCAGCGTGACGTTTTCTTACCAGATTAGTTGTTTCACGAGAGAAAGGCTGCCGTTACAGCGTGTAAAAACAAGAACGATAAGAAATCATGGGAAAGAGGTTGGAAGAGAAAAAGATGCCAGCAGAGCAAAATGTTCATATTGCACAAAAACGAAGCCGACTCCTAGAGCAGAGAAGATGAAACAGCCGTAGCAATGCCTGGACTTGACATGCTAAAAATACACTGGAGCTGCAGCAGCCGTACACAGGGATGAAAAAGCAAACATGTAGCCTGGGTTGCCACGTTACAACCTGCCTGTGACACACTGTCCAGGTGACAGCGACAGAAGCTTGCCTCTCATGCTGCCGTTAGGTCTTCATGGCTCCATCCATCTTCAAACAGAATATCACGCTAACTGAAAAGGTGCCTCCAGACTGTGTCTTCCTCTCACCCCCTCCCTTCTATTGCTCATATGACAGAAGCAGCAGCTGCTTATTACACATTCAACTGGGATGGTACAGCTCCCCCCCCACCTACTCATTCCTCTTCTCTCCTCTTCACCAGGCATCAACCTGTTTAAAACACAGGGCAATCAGCTGATTCCATCTCCTGATCATTCACACCGTTCCCTCCATTTTTCCCTGCTCACTATTTCCTCTGCTCTCATGGCGTACTGTTCCCTCCCTTTTTCTGCTCCTTAAATGTTCAATGTCCCCTCCTCTTTGCTAAGCAACTGCTGCCCGTCTCCAAGCACTCAGTGCATGCTGCCTCCCACAGTATAATGTCTTTCTGCCTGCATCTCCTATAATCCTCTGATTCTTATGAGCAGATCTAATTTTGCTTGTAGATAATAGATACTTTTGTGAGGCTTTTTTTTTTTTGCCATTTCCTGTGCAACACAGTGGCGGTTGGCATCGCGGCACATGCATGAGAGGGTAGACTATAAACACGCAAAGAATTAAAAAAGGGAAGCTTTAAGAGAAAGGACTAAAAAGGGGAGGGTTTTCCGGAAGGGGGAAAATGAACTCATGATAAATGCAAGAAGGTTATGTAGATGTGACATGTCAGTTTTTTACTTGTTTTAGCATGAAGGTTGAGTCATTCCAACATGTATTTATGTATTATGATACAATGTATCCAACATGAATAACCAATAAATCAATGATCAATGTCAGATCAATGTATATTGATACTGAGAATGCCAGATGTATTTTTCAATAAACTGAACTAAAAACGTAGTAAATCACAGGGATTCAATCTGAATATGAAGGATCCCTGTGGGAAAATATATTATAAAGCTAATACCTAAGCTGCCCTGGTAAAATGTATAATTCATAAACACATTCAGATAACAACAGGCCCAGAGTAGAAGGTTCAAACACATCCTGACAAAGCATTTACAGCCATTTGTTTAAGATACGGAACAGATGTTTGCAGCTTCGCTTTACCATGAATGTGCATAATCAATAACAGCTACTTATAGCTCCCTGCAGCATGCATAAAAGATTAATGGTGACATCTCAGGAGCGCATAGGTGTGAGGTTTTCCTTCTGCACAGCTCTGAAGACACACGGCACTTGAGCTCATTTTTACTGGTGTTTGCATTTCACAGACACTACTGTTAGTTATGTAAACTAAGGGAAAAAATTGCTGAAGTCTCTTAAGAAAAGTGTTTTCAATCAATCCTGAAATTGAAAGCCAAAGAAACAGTTATGTGCATTTTGGTGTTTCAAATATAATCAGAATTTCTATTCCCAATTCAAATCTTTTTTATTTTTATGTAATTTTTCTAAATTAATTTCTAAAATAAATGTCATCAAATAGCACATTACAGAAATAAAGAAAAAGATATTCAGCTCAACTTCAGAATGAAAACAAACCAAGCCCATCTTGTGGATTCTGACTTCTTAAGTCAAGCAGCAGAAGATCTGAAATGTTTTGGGCTATGCATTACAGAAATGCTTGGTGGATCTAACCCAGTGCGAAACCTATAAACATGTCAATAAAAATAAAAAAATGCACCCCTGTCTCTGCACAGCAACATAGTTTGTTTGATCTACAAATGGACTAACTGCAACTATGCAGCTATGTCCTCGGGTTACGTTTTTTCAGTAAAAAGAGTAAATAAATGAAAGCAAATAACACTTTGATGATTGTTAAACAGCACTTTTAATGAGGGAGAAAAAGCAATGACACACTAGGAGGTGTCTGCAACTCTCTGTAAAAACAGCAGCTTGACAATCACCAGCAAAAAGTTTTTTTGAAAAAAGGTTTTGTCTGTTCTTGGAGTTAAGAAACACTTGACATATGATGTAGTTGTGACACTGGTCACTTTGAAAAGATTAAAGACACTGTCCAAAACTACCTGGGTTTTCCAAATAAGGGTAAAAGATAGAAAGAGGATCGAGGAGGCGACACAAACTAAGGGAGAGATGGGGATGCGGATTTTGCCTCACATCCCTGTGTCTGCAGGGATATTTTCGGTCATGTTTGCTCTGGCACTTCATTTAGGCCATTTCAACAGCGGTGTCAGTAGCAGTTCTGCAGGACAGAAAGTCTGCTCTGGCCTGATTAGAAGGCCTACATAGAGAGCTCTGATGGGATAGGCCGGATGCTCAGATCTCATGACTACTGTCTAAACATTAACACCTTAAACTAGAGCAGCTCTGTGACGGAATGAAAGTTATCGGTAGAAAAAAAAAGAACATGCTCAAGATTAACTTTAGGGGGGAATACAACCTGCTTGTGATAAGGAAAATCAAAACCTACCAGCTGGAGGATGTCCTCATCTTTTGGCATCACACAGAGTTCAAGAAGGTCTCCGCTATATTGGAAAAAAAACACAAAAAAAAACAGGATGTTTAAACCTGAAGGCTCCCAATGAACCACGATCGATCAAACCTCTGCCGTACCTGTCTTGGATTAGAGATATAACATCACAGTAGGCTTTCCCAATGATACTTGCTCCATTCACCTTTACTATTCGATCACCTGATCAAAAACAAAAATGGCATCATTGATAGTTTTTCTGGAAAAACAAAAGCAGTATACACAAATACCTTGAAAGTCTGTCAAATGGCATAAGTCCACTTTAAACTGATGCACATATTAGTCACAGAAGTCACACATCCTGACTAATGCTGCAGTGCGACAGCACAATCAGGTTACAGAGAAAAACGGCTCCTCTTGCAGTTTGTTTCTTTTATAAGGACGACAGAGAAAAGTTTCCATTTCTCATGTCCTAAAACTCCCACAAAATGTGTTGTGCACTTTAGTGAGTAAAGGATCTTGCTGAGTTTATTACCTGTGCAAAGCCCTGCTGCATGAGCGGGGCCGCCTTCCTTGACTTGCTTCACGAAAATAGTGTCCATGGGTTCCAGCCTGTTCCTCTGCCTGCCTGTTAAACACACCCAACATGGAAAAAGTTTCAAGCTGAAAAAGTCCAGCAATTTGAGCAGGTCTTATTTTATGGAGCGGCTAGCCGACAAGAGAGAACGAGTTTGTCTGACTGATACTAATGCTCTGCCCTCTTTTGAATGGGCATTGTCATTAATTGGTTTAATGAAAAGAGAAGAGGAAAAAAACTTCAATGGGGGATTTTGTGTGGTTTTAAGGACTTGGATCAAAGTCACTAAAGAGAGGAAAACCTGTTTGCTCATGCTGCTCCTGTCTCCTAGCAGCTGCAAGGCCACAGAAACAGGAAAGAAAAGAAAGAAAGGAGTGAGAGAAAGACTAAGGAGGAAGAGTGACAGTGTGCTCAGCTGCACAACTCCCACTCTTTCCTCGTAAGCTGAGAAATAGCTTTGGGCTCAGCCCGAGAGCGGCGAAAACGCTTCCCCAGTAGTTAACATGCTGGTGGTGAGTCAGCGCACATTACCTCCAAAAGAAGATGCAAAGTGCGGCATGAGCTGACACAAGGCATTTGGTGACTGTGCATGCCATCTAAAAACTCCACCAAGTAAAAAAGGGTGGATTGTCTCCCATAACGTAGCAGAAAAGACATTTTAGCACACACACCCTACAAAGTGATTGGTTAATCTCTTAAGGCCGCCACTTTAAACCTTGTGAGGCAAACAAACTCTTGTGACCTTGTTTTTTTCCTCTTTTCCGTACCAGATTACTCCCACAGGGTCACACCATGAGGATGGACGCACATTACATAATACAGTCCTAGAGTCTCATCCCACTACAGTAAGAGGGCTTGTGCCCTCTGGTGGCAAACTGTTGGCCTGCATCTGTAGTTCCTCACTGGAGGAGTCCTAAATGTAAGGGTGAAGAACCTGTTTCTGCCCCTTAAGTCATGATGAATCACCTAATACAGCAAGACTGAGTCAAGATGGGCTATAAAAACGTCACTATTTGTTACACCGAAGCATCATCCTCCCTATAGATCACGCCTGAACTTATTCCATATTTAGCACTTCTGTTAAACAACCATGTGAGATATACTCCAAGTTTTATTGAAAAGTCCAGTTTGTTTTTGCTTTTTGTTGTAGCCTTTATTGAATCTTTTCACCATTTTGATTCTGACAGATTGTCAGTTGTAATGGAGAGAAAAAATGCTGTTCTTGATGTGAGGAAGAGTGATGAGTTTACAAGTGATCATAAGTTCAGTAATGCATCTAAATTTGACCCCAGTGTGATAACAGAGGGGCTTTGTCTGGGGAGGCCGCAGTCTAATGCAGTAAGAGAAGTGGTGTGACAGCACTGACGGACCCAAACAGCTCAATTACAACCAAATGCCATGTTTTCAGACAGGAATGCACACACCCCGGCCTTTGAATCACTCCATCAACATGAGTGTCTCTGATTAAGCTTTTCCTTCATCCTGCTACGTCTACGTTTTCCTTTCACAAGAAAGCCAAATGTGGGTTTTTTTTTACTGACGAAAAACAACTTTGCTCGATTGGAACTGCGTGACATAATGAACTTGCATTATATTCTCTGAGTTTTTTATTGTCCTCCTAAAGCCTGCTTCTTAGAGCCAGCAGTTTTGTTTTCTCCTCCGTGTTGGTGCGCCTGCTGACTCAGTCAGGACTGAAACTTGCTCAGGTTGGGCGTTTCTTCTTTGCTTCTGGCATGCTGCCTACAAGGCCCCGTGTGTGAAGAATTATAAGACAGCCAGGACTCCTTAATATTCTTTGGCTTACTACAGGCTAGCAGGGCTCGTCTTTTACGGAGTTTAACGCTTGGTGAAAGATCAAAATACATTTCCAAGTTCGGCAGCTAGCAATGTTTGTCTGCTGTTGACGGAACCACACAAAAAGTTCCAAGTTGGGAATGAGACACCACAAAAGCGCTTTAGAAGACGCGTGTCTTAGTAAACAGTCATTCACTTCATGACAACATCCAAAAGCACCAGTTTTTCTTTTTTATACAAAAAAAAAAAACTTTTAATCCCCTTGACAAAGCCTCCTTGTGAAGCTGAAAATGTCAGACTGTTGAGCCAGAGACTGCAGATGTGGCGTTCCAGTCACTGGGAAATGCATTGTAAAACATGAGGAATGATTACAACAAGCCTTTAATGGGCTGCTCTACGGTCATGGGACGTCCAGGCTTCAGACTGATTTGTTGTGGTGTGTGTGAGCAATTGTGAGAGACTTGACTGTAAGGTTATCATACTAATGGGCTCCATTTGAGTTTTTATTGGGCAAACTCGCTTTGGGCCTTTCAGCAACCAAAACAAAAACTTGTGTTGTTCGTGAGCTAGGTTAAAATAATAGTGGGCTTCTTCACTGCGGGCATCACTCTGCCATAGTGAGACCACTTCACTCAGCCCAGCTGATAAGATCTGAGGAAATTATGGGCTTTCCCTCTTATAATGAAAACAAAGATAGCCAGTTGGGAAAAATAATTATTCATTTCCTCAATATGACTAAGATCAACTATTGTGGTGAATTCCTGAGGGGAAAAAACGTGTTTTTGTCTCGGAAAAACATCCACAGCGTGGTTACCAAATGGCCCCAACCGTAATTCCCAACTCCAACTCTTCTTTTGTTTTCTTCTTGGTCTGTAACACTACCCCTAACAAGTGGAGAGAAGGTCAAACACACCCAATCCAGTAAAAATTGGGCCATCTCTTTCTGACAGCCTTTTTATGGAGTGTGAACAGCACAGCAGAAGCAACAAAGTGAAACAATACGAGGTGGGTCGGGGCAGGAAACAAACAGGTGGTGCTGACCAAACCTTTCACGCCTCTACCAGCCTCAGTCACATGTAGGACATCCATTGTTACAATCACATAAAAAAAGGCAAAGAGACGAAGGTTTAAGAGTAATTGGATGCCAGAGGCGCTGCTTTGACTCGGCCCGGCTGAATTACAGGAAATAAGAGGAACAGCCCGGTTTTCCCCGCTTACCTCTGCGCCCGTGATCTTCCTCCTGTAAAACACACAAATGCTCAAATGACTGCATTGCTCACTGACACAGAATTTCAAATATCTGCAAGTGACATCCTGAAACGTACCGGGAAGAAGTGAAGGCTGGACTCTGGGGGGTAGACGATGAAGTGTCGCAGGGTGAAGCCGAAGCCTTGGGACGTGCGACGTAGGCGAACCGTTTTCGGCCTCGGCCAGGAGAACGACTCCTCCTCTAAAGCGTATTGCACTGCAGGGGAATCGGCCGAGCTCCTCCACTCTGAAGAGTCATTCTAACCAAGGGAAACAGGGGGAAAAAAGTCAAATAAAGTATTGTGAGGAGATATGAATACTTTTTTCTTTGACCATAAATGAGAGATATCCAAAGATGACAGAGATCCACCACAAATACAGGCATTTGAAAACATTTAATAGGTGACCTATTTGATTACTCTATCAAAAATGTTATGTTCTTAAAAAAACTGAACATTATTTTAAAAAGATGTATGTAAGAGAACATAAGAAGGCATCAAACATTTACATCAAGTCATTTCACTTGTGCCAGGCTGATTATAAGGCAAACGTCTGTGTTTACAGACCTATCTATAGGCTGACACCGTTGCAGTTTCATACACACAACATCTTTCTGTCATATTCCCTGCACTGGTGTGCCTTTCAGGATCGACTCTGTCCTGATATTTTCCCCTCGCTCTGCCTACAACAAGCCCTTCCCCTCCCCCAAGAGCGCGCTCTTTCCCCCACAATGTGAGGAATTTGATGAGCTTGCATTAATAATATCTTTAGCTGTGCTGGTCTGTTGAGTAAAATGGACTAAATCCAAAACGAGCATGTATGTTCACACATCTTGGTGTTGTTGTAACCGCAGAAAAATGCACAGGAGGTTTTGATTCTTGGGAAACACACAAATCTTCGCACACACAAGTAAGTTTGAGAACATAAATCCATAGGGCCCTCCCACATGTTCCAGCTGTGCAAGGAGGGAAAGAAAAACACAGAAAAAAACTTCTTAATAAAAACTAAGAACAGACAGTTACTCTTAGTCAAATAATAGAAAAAATGGTTTTGTGTACCATGTCAAAACATGCTTTATGATGCCCATTACCCTGAAACATGATTTGCATTTTTTAAAACTGTTTTAAAGGTTATAATTAATCAATTCTGACCTATTTGTTTGTTGGTCAACTTCAAAACCAAATCTTGAAATAAAAAAACCCCTTGAATCAAAGCTTATTAAAAAGGTGATACTTTGAGCTGCTCAGTTTACGTTTACGTGCTCAACACCGCTGAAACCCCCCCGGAACTCAGTGCCTGGGAGAAAAGAGCTGCAGGTGCAGCTGAGACGTGTATTTTGATTAAACTAGCAGAACAGGTTTTTACAGTGTATAAGCAGGCTTTGACTATTCAGCTGCACCAGCACTTTCATGTTGAAATCCGTTCCCGTCTGATGCACGTGTGCCTTCAGAGCAGGAGACGGCATTTAGATTCGGACCCGAAGAAGTGCTTCTGGTGAAACGCGTCCAAATCAACGCCTGCACTGATGCCCATGTGTCTACAGGCTAAGCCAGCCCACGTCTAGTGGATCTGATTTAGGATGCAGTGCACGGGGCGATTCCCAACCCTCTGATCTTTAGATTTGGGCAACACGAGGGGGTGCGGGCCTCCTCCCAGACGCATGCCTCGCAGTGTTATCATTGCCACTTGCAGAGTTAATGCCGCTGTGGCATTCCAGGTCAATAAATTCCAGACCAACATTTCTCTCATGTTTTCTTTTTTTGTTCCCGTTAAGTAAGAGGCAACACCTCTGATTGGAGAAAAGAGCTGCCAGAAAAGAAAACCTGATGGGTCAGAGTTGGACTGAATGGCAAGATGTCAGACAGGATTTTACAACAAAAAGAAAAGTATGACTTGTGGAGAAAAGAAAAAAAAGGGGGGGGGGGGATGAAAGGACAGCATATGCAAGTAACACCCGCCTTGAAAAAAAGAACGAAAAGACAAAAATCCTTGGCTGACCACAATTGAATGCCTCTCACCTATTTATGAATCACCAGAATGTCAGAGTGATATTTGCACTGGGTGAGGCAGCTGGAGAAGGCATTCTGTAGGCATGTGTTCCTCTGCTGGATGTCTCTTGGAAAATACAAGTGACCGAGCCCATATCTCAGCATGGGAGCAGAGATTTAATTCAACAGTATCCCAATAAAAACAAAAAAAGCCATCACGGAAGTCCCCTCAGGCATTTGGGGGAAACGCCTGAGGTGCCTATAGATTTTAGTAATGCAAATCAGCCAACATGATCTTCAAGCTTTGGCATGAGATGACTGTTCTCCCAAGTTAAAACTCACGACAAATAACGTGACGTTTGTCCTAGCATTGTTACATGCCAATTCCGCAGTACATGTGGTCATTTTCAGCAAGATTGCACAGTGACTACATCAGCTCAGTGATTAGAGAGCAACTAAACCGATGCCAACCCTAAGTTTAAGAGCGCTCACTGCCCACAGCTGTTCACACACCACAATTTCTGATATCCAGCAACACACAGCGCGCACAGACAAGCCGACCGGAATTTCCAGCGTCCTTTTTTAGCATATGATTAGAAGACAGAAAAAAACCTCTACATCACCAAATAGCATCTTAAGAGCACCAGATGACATCAGCCGCGAGGACGCCACACCGAGATAAAACCCCGAAATGTGAGGAAACCTACTTCTCCGTGGGCTGCTACATTCTACACCACATCCCAGCCAAACCAAGCACTGTGCTGTGAAAAGCCACAGATAATGACGCACAGGGCCATCGGTGAGCTCTGGGCTCTAACACAGCACAGGTTTGGGAGCATCACTGCTCATTTCATGTCCACATATTATGCATGCAACGTACCGCTTTAAAAGAAAAGGCCTTATATGGCCTTCTGGTCAAAATGGAGGATCAAAGACCTGCCAGTTGTGTTGCAATAAATAAAGTTAATCTATACCATGACATAGTATCAGAATATTTCTGCTGCAGAGGACAATGCAACGTTGCCATATTGGGCTGAGGCATTTCCAAACGTCACTCATTATCTTTCTCTCAAACACATTCAACCTTTGTATCTATTAAAAGGAAGGCGAAAAAGAAAGCCGGCAAGCAAATGTCAAAGTAAATATCCCAAGTCATTTCATTGGCTCAACTTGAAAGACACACTTGTGTACAACTACAATTACAACCAGCCTGTCATTCATACCTTTCCATTTAATTTGTTTTCAAGCCTGAGTGAGTTATCTAAACAAGACCACAAAAAAAACAAACCAACAAAAAAAAAAAACAAAGGCACGGATGCTTTAATCCAGTGTTGCCACAAAGGGGGAAAACTGGATCCCACAGTCCGTCTTGTATGTTTCCTCCAGACACAGCAGACACAGCTATAATTCAACAGGAAGTAACAGACATCTTCTACCCAATTGAAGGTAATTTTTTCCTTCCGACTGCCATCAGTTATCCATATGATGCCTGTGCAGAGGGTTCTGTAAAAGACAGCCATCTTAAATGAGATGAACAAAAAGCTTTGATGCAGCCAGGATTGTGGGGACACCCAGGGATTCAACAACTCCTAGGTGTGCTAATCCACATTGGAAAAAACACTCATCGTCTACAGGTTTCAGTTGAATGATATGATCAAATAAAAAATATGAAACACCATAGTCCAACATTAAAAAAAAAAAAAACACTGACATAGTTACACATTAGCAAGACTCTGCTCTGCAGCCCTTATCATTACACAAATGTCAAACACGGGAAGGTAATCCAGCTGCAGTGGAAGTCAAACATGTTTTCTATGAATAAAGAACAACCTCTTGATCTTAATGGATTGGGCATGTGTTAACAAACGTCTGTAACTGAACATCCACCTGAGAAAATTCCTCGGGCATTTAAGCAACGATACCAGTTCCCAGAAAATCCCATGGCTGGAGATTCCTTGGGGGATTTCCACCTAAAAATTAGCACATGAATTGCTTTGTGATAGCCTGATTAAAGGGACAGCTAAAGGGAGGATTTCCTTGACTGTACTGTAGCACGACTTAACTTTCAGCACGAGTAACCAAAATGTTCTAAACCTTGTTTCTTTTGCATTACGCTCAGTGTCATGTGATGAAAAGTTACACAAGTGAACATTTTCACAACACCAATTTTTTTACTATGTAGGGTGAATCTACATCAGAACTTCTTTCCTTAACACACATCTATTGAATTAGTGGTTCAATTAACTTTAAGTTTGTTTTCTTATGGGCAACAGAGGGAGAGAAAACTGGAAAGCACAGCAGTCTATCTGCAGAGCAAGCTCCAACAATGTGTTGCTCTCACACATTACTGACTGGCACGGTTTCATGTCAAAATGTACTCCTCGTCATGAGTCAGGGTAAAACAATTCCCAAAAAATACTATCCCTGGAGCATTGAAAAAATAACAAAAAAAACATTTTTGGAAGCAGTGTTCTTTCAGGTTGTTTTTCCAAGCTGCCATCCAAGCAACACGCTCTCAGAGGAGCAGATGGTGTCCTGTCTGGTATTACAGGGGTCACAGCTTAAAAATCTGAAAGACTCGACTGACAAACTACCCCTGTGCCTTTGTGTCCTCCCACTTTCCACAAATAATGAGTTCAATTAAAATTTCAAATCTTGTTATGTACTGCTCTGCAAACTATAACCGGTCTGATGTGGCCATCTACAACCATCAGCCCTTGCTATTTCTGGAGAAAAAAGGAGGCCCTTAACGGCAGAAATCAGATGGAGCTAAACTAAATCAACTCGGCTGGAATAAATGGTGAGCAGCCTCTAATTACATAGCACTTTTCTAGTCAGCTGACAAATCAAAACACTTTCGCACAACAAACCACACCCATCCATTCCTGATACTGAATAAAGATCTTTTGATTTTTTTTTAATTCTTAAAAATGGACTGATAACAAATATCATCCATTTGCAGAGAAATGAGAAAAAAGGATTGGCTTGGCCCAGCTTACCTCACAGAATGAAGATCTTGCTCTTTGTCGCTCATTGTCTTCACAGGGGGGAACCCAACGTGACGCCATCGTTCAACTTTGATTAAAATCCTGAAGTGTGTGAAAGCCTACATCGAAAAGTTAGCTCCAGCTAGATGCACGGATGGACGCCCCACGTTGACTTACACCTCGGTTCTGGCTGGATGTCTTAGGCCATCTGTTAGAGAAACAGGCAGATTTGTTAATAAAGTGCTCGGCTCTGGAAACTGACACTGGTCGACACTGTAAAGCTACCTGGATCAGTACCTCAATTGTTTATAATAGTAGACCATCCATGCTCAATTCCAGACAGTAGACACTACACAACAGATTTTAATTAAACACAATTTTCCAACCAGGGCTATTTTTACCTTAGTTCCACTCTACAGCTGCAGGGAAAGGGCAAATTTCAAGTAACAATGTGTGACACTATGATGAAATGTGAGCAGAAGCAGGTTAACAAGGTGGCTGAGTGGAGATGAATAATGAAGTACTCCACAGGCATGTTATCTGGATTATGTGTTTACATTACAAACACTGGGTAATACACCAAGATCAGATATTTTAAAATTAATGCATTATGGGGGTTAAAATTACACTGCAAAATGTAACATGTAAACAAAGAAACAATTCAGCAAATGCACAGTTTATGATGTGTTTTTGTAAGGTGAATCCAAAGTGATGCATGTAATGAATATGAGCCATTTTCTCTCAGGGTAACATGAATCTGTTGTAACAAGTAGACTCATTCCTGTTTTCAATAAATCGGTGTGAGCTTCAATTAAACTGAAAATGAAAGGGGAACTTTTAAGGAGCATTTGCTATACAAAAAATGGGGATCCATGCAATGTTAGACTGATAAAGGCAACTAAACATTGCACAGTCATTAATCATTTAACTTTAATGGATGAATATGCAGAAGGTGTTGGTAAAAATATACATTTTCAAAGCTTTTTTCAATTTTCTTGACCACATATCTGGCTATAAAAATAAATGTAACCTTTTGGGGAATCTCAAAGCAATTCAGAATGATTACCATATCAATACATGAACCTAAAGACAGACATATTTAACAGACTCCCTGCAAATTGCAAGATCTTACAAGTATTCTGCATTCGTTTTGGTGTTCGGGATATTGAAGCTAGTGATATGGAAAGCACATTGTTATTTGTACCAAAAACAATTCGGCCTCGGTGTCAACAGCCTGTGGCACCACAACGTGGATCCGCCAGCGTAATGAATGACCAGCATCAAGTGGACAACAGACGGGAACGAGGGCAGAAAAGGGTCCGACTACTACAACTACATTTATCATTAACTGATAAACTAATGTTGTTTTTAGATTTAGGTCGTGTGTCTCTGTGTGTATTTGTATTATTACACATTAGTTATCACTTATAAAAGCAAGTATTTTATGTTTTAAACAGGCAACGTTTCAGTCACTTGTTCGAGATCAATAAGGCACGAACCCAGCGTGCGGAGCTGTTGTTCTTCAGAGCTCAACAAAAAAAAAAAAAGCTTTGCGGTCGTTATTGATCGCAAAGTACCATCACCTACACTATATCAAGTCCGCACATAACACCGCGACTTGTTCCCTCGACTATGTTTAAAGAGTATAACACCGGTAGGCATTTGAACGTCGGCGAAGTCCACACGCAAACCGACCGAAGCAACAAGCTGCTAGCGGTTAGCATGTGTGCTAGTGTTGGCTGGAGTTTTAACAAAGTTACCTGTGTTGTTGAGAAGCGTCATTGCGGGCGGCCAACAGCGGCAGTTGTTTTCCATGAGAACGATTAAGCGAAGTAAAAACATCGCGTGGGCCCGGTTAAGTAGTCAGACCTTGTTCCAAGCTCATGAAATTTGAGAACAAACAACTTCCCGGTGATTAATCCAAACCCACTCAGCGGTGGCGCATGGTGCAGTTTTGTGGCTGGAATTTTTTTCTTCTTCCAGCGTTTCTAACTCTCTGGGAGTCCACCTTCGGTCAATAGGACACTCTCGCCCAATCAGAAGCGGCGTTGAATTTAACCGAACCAATCAAACGTGGGTTTACAAAAACTCACTGCTGAGCTTGTAAAAGGTTGTGTTTTTTTAACCGTTCCAATGGAGACGAGGGTGTACAACATGGTGTTATTGGAGGACAATAAGTTTTTTTGTGCACCAAGAGACACACAGAAAGAGGTCAATGTTAGAGTTCTGCTTTATAGTGGCCACCTGCGGTGGTTTCATATTAATAAAGCTGAATGAGTCACATGTTACGGTTCAAAGTGAGGTCGAGCTCGGCATGTGGATGGCAGTGGATGTGGAATGCGGGTTCATACCAACTTCAGAGTACATAATCTTTCCTTTCTCACCGTTCGTACATCACTCAACCCCTGATCACGCATTTACGATACAAATTATGCGAGAGACGGTTGCTGTCGACTTAAATTCTCAGGGATCTGACAAATGCCTCTTTTATGTCCCTCCACCATGAGGGACCACCTGTTCTTGGAATTGGCAGCTTTTGTTACAGAGGTCAGTAAAGGGAGGAGACTTTCACAAAGCTGTCTTCTCCTGCCATCTCCACTTTCAGTGTGGGCATAAACTTTATAGGACAATTTAGAATCAGTCAGATTATGTTAGTTGTACCTTGAATATTGACATTTAGGTAAATTACCAAACTGTATTGCACTACATACAGTACACACTCAACACTTGTTCTTTTCAGGAGTTAACTTTTATTTTCAAGAATAATACCATTACCCATTTTAATCAAACATAATCTAGTTTTCTGATGACATGATATTTTACCTGTAGCAGTATTTAACATGGTGGAATTGCCTCAGCAAAAGACCACACTTCCCTCACTAACATTTTTTACTGACATCTATTCTTTTAAAAGAGAGTTATTAGAGTCAAGTTTTATTTGTTATTTTGTCAAAGAGTCAGCAGCAATACACTGTGTTCCTCAAAAGACCCTTTCAGCAAAGGGAAAAATCCTTACGTTCACCAGAAATTTTGTGTTTCCAGTTTTAACACAGAGTTGTATGTCAAGTGTAAACAGTGAGCACAGCAGCTTGACGAAGCAGGCTTACTTTTTGTTTTGCTCATTTTTCAGTTTCCTCCAAACATGACCTGGTGTTTCAGCTTGGGGTTGTTTTCAGGAAATTGCATTAATACACTATAACAACGGCTTTCTGTTAAATAAAAAAAATCTAGTTACTTATCGCCATAAAACAAGCACAGTTAAAGAAGAAAACTAAGTGCTCCTCTTTAAATTTCACCAGCTCTTGGAAAACATATTGCATAATGGCCCTTCTATCTTGTGAGCTCAACCAAGAAACCAATTCAAATTCATTACTAAGATCATGAGGGGAACAACTTGCAACACAGAAATATGAAAGACATTTTTATTGTATAAGAAATTGTCAAAAGAAATACATCAGCACTCACAAAGTACCTTGTATCTAATGCTAAAAAAAGAGGTAGTTAGCTCTCTAAATGTTAACAGTACTCCGTTGTAAAAACTTTAAATGCACAATGTACTATTGGAGACTACAGCATTTTATATAACTTTTTCCTATCAAATCAAAGAAGAAATCTCTCTAATTTTCACATTATATTTAGTCATCAAGTCGTTAGCTATGGTTAACAAACAGTAGAGAACACGGTTTCAGAATCACAAAAACAAACAAAAGAAGTTTCCTTGTAGTAAACACAAACCAACCAAATATGTTGCTAACACAGAGAATAGATTTGCTCGTTTCGCCAGTTAAACATGCATGTGTGAGTACATACATGCTTGTTAACAAGATCTAATTTTTTACAGGTATGATCGTGATTACATGTTATCATAGCAGCTGTGAGTGTATGGTGTTTTCAAACTACTGGTGGACAGTCATCTTTGTCACTGCCCTCTCCTCAGATTTTATATTTCTTCTTCCCATTTTCGCTGATCACACAAATGTGCTAAAACAAAAAGGAAAATAGTACAGTCAACACACAAATTGAAAGAAAATTCTGTGATCACATGGCCCAAAATGTTCAGCTGCACAACAGTCCATTGGTTCGTGTCTAAACACTCTTCATGACACTTCATTCTTTTCTAGTAAGAGATACATATGGGCTGCAGCTGGCAATGTGCTTATGAGTAAAATTGGACAAAAGCAGGGGCTACAAGACGTAATGCAAATAACACTCCCCTGATGGTATTTTTTCTGTCCAAAAGTTCAACATATATATGTATTAATGACTTGCAAAATGCCAGCCATTAATGCCATGGATAATGATGCACACCTATGGCATCATAGACGCTGAAATTTGAACCTCTTTCTCATCCCTGAGGCACACAGCCTGACACCTACAGTATATTCCCATATGATCCCACAACATGTGTCCACCAGTTTTCAGATCAGTTCAAGTCTACCGAACTGTGCAGCTTTTGTGAGTTGATACACCACGCCGCTTCCTCCTTGTTTAGTACATTTTGAGCTTCATTCATTTCTGGTTCCTGGGGTGGATTGTGCTGAGTGAACATTTGATTATACACTTGACTTAGGAAACATTTCTGCCGAGTTGGTTAATGGTAGACTGTTATTGTTCGGCACAAAGTTGTGAGCCTTGCTTAGAAACTTGAATATTTTTTATTGGAATTTCCTTTACCGATACTCTCACTTGTTATTGATAAATCCGCTGTATTGAGTGTGCTGCTGGTTTTAAATTTTACATTTTGTATCCATTTTCCAAATAAAAAGTAAGTGCATACAGAAGTAATAGATTTATTTGGGAAAAAATAATGCAATTTTTTATTTATTCTTTTACTGCATTTTGTAAAACTTCTGAGCTTTTCTTAAAATGCATTCCTCCAACACATAACACTAAATGTACGCTACCCTTCTAAAAGCTTTTTGTGAATACAAAAAACAATGACTTACATTGAGGTCTCTAAAATACTCATTGTAGTCCAAGGCATATCCAACCACAAAACGATTGGGTATCTCAAAGCCATAATCTGAAACCAAAGATGACCATTAACCAACATTTTTCCATCACTTACACCAACAATCGGTTTCAGTATGTATAAAGCACTGACTCACGCACACATGAGCACTTACAGTCAGGAACACATGCTGAGCTGTGTTGCACTCTCTTTACCAGCAATCTAGGGAAGACAAAAGCAGATATTACTTCACCGCATCAGATCCGGACTGTCTGTTAGGACGTCTCAAGACACTGACACCAGAAATCAGTATTGCCATTTCAGGTCTTTGGCTCTGTCTGTTTGTGTCTAGACTACAAGGAGGAAATTGAGTGATTCAAAGAGAAGGCCAACTGGGCTGGCTTTGTTTTGATGTCTTTACCCTGCGACTTTAATCATTTTTGGCTTGAAGGCTTCGACGTGCTTCAGGAGAGTCTTCATTGTCTTTCCGGTGCCCACAATGCCCTGCAAGGAGGGAAAGAAACAATAAATGGATAGAGAAAGATGGTGAATTTCAATAATAAAAAAAAACAGTTTCACATCACAAAAGTGAAGGTAGAAGTTCACTCAATGTCACACGGCACTAATGTTACACAACTGTTCAAAAGCATTCCTGTAAAATTACTTCCACAGACAACATGTGATATTTTACACAAAACTGCATCTGACCTCTTGCCTTTGGATGGAAAGTTGAAGGGGGAGCAAAGCCACTCGCTTGCATTTGGTCATTCCACTATGCTACATGCACTACATAAGTATCAGACAGTAAAGAAAGGGTTTAGCCTAATGAAAGGATAATGACTGGAAAATCTGTTTGGAATACTCTGGCTAGAAACAAAACGAGAATAATAAGTTCAGGTATCATTTTTCTTTCTTAACTAAATGTTTTTAACATTTTCTCTTATGTGACATTTTAAAAGTTGACCTGTCCAGACATTCCACTGCCACCCGCCCAATAACAGATGGGATAGACTACGCCCGCCCACGCAACCCCACGCAAATGGATAAATCAACGAACTTTAAAAGTCAGATGACTGTGGTTATAATGTTGAGACCCCCCCCCCCCTTACTCAACTGTTTAAGTTCGATACTAGTACAAACTGCACAAGTATGCAAATAACTAGTTCCTAAAAAAATCAGAGGTGGTCAAAACAATGTGAAGTTGCCTGAAACCATGCAAAAGCCACATTACACTGATTAAAATAACACAGAGATAGAGGAGTCATATTCTCAATGTCTTTTTCTGACACACAGCCCATAATTTAATGGTCATGAGATTGGCACTAATGTGTCCTTTATTAAAAGAAATGATGACTGAAACATCAAGTGTCTTTCACAGTCAGTCAAACATGATGTCATGCATGTTATTGCTGACTCGTGCATGTTAATGTGCAACTTTTTAAACAATGGTTTCATAATACTACAATCATTAACAGCGTTTCTAAAAATGTACATCCCTACACACAAATATATATACACACACACACACACACACACACACACACACACACACACACACACAATAACCTCAGCTCTGTTTTGGAGTTACATCTGATTCAGTTAATTGCAAATTCAAATGTTCACATTTGAACTTGCTCTGTTCTGATTTGAGTAAAAATATCGGAATGCTTAGCTGCTCGGTGCTCTCAGAAGCCGATGGAAGAGGTTTGTTAGAGCTTATCCTAAAAAATGGAAACAGATGGTGAAAAATAAGTTTTATAAGCTTTATATTAGTAACTTGTTGGAGATTCAGAAATTAAGCTATATACAATATAACTACAGTGATTATTTTTTTAACAAGCTCACATTTTCTTATGTTGTAGGGAGATTACTAATGGCTGTTGTTTCAAAATGTAGCCAGTGTTTAAAGTAGAACATCCTAAAAGACCTCTTCTTCCTTACTCTGCAGTTTGTATTTTTTCCGGAGTGTCTACCGACATAAAAATAGGGCTCAGTCATTATGTTGACAGGGTGAATTTGGTAATCAGCTCTGACTTTCTCCAAAGAGGACAGACCATTAAAAAGTTTCTCCATGTTAATCTCAAGTCCCACTGAAGAAAACAAACTTTTAAAGGGCCCCTCTTGACCTGGATAACCATCCATGAAAACACAATGAGCTCATTCGGAGAGGAGGAAAAACAGCAAAATCAAGACTGACTCACCTCCACGATCAGTACGTTCTTGTGAAAGCATGTCGGGAAAAGAAGAGAGGGAGGAAAGCAAAGAATTATCCAAGATTAGAAACAGATAAACTATAACATGTTCTTATCACACACACAGACATATAAATCTCTGAAAACAAGCATAAATGTTATATAAATAATGAAAAAAACAAGATAGAAAGTTGGCTCACGCAACATTTATTTCAGCCATGGAGTATAAAAATAACACTAACTAAACGGATCATCATGAGAGCTTCTCCTATTTTTTTTAATTATTATCAGTGATTAAAGAGAAGAATCCTCCATAGAAAAGTCTCCCTCATCCTGATAGGAAATCTGTGTTCCAGCTGTCTGTCTTTGAATGTTACACTGAAATGACTGACATTCTGCAAATATTTGTCTAATCAACTAGAGTCAACTGGACACAACCTCAGCTTCACCTCAACCAAGTTAGGTCAAGATAAAACTGAATCTCCGCGACTGACCGTTAACTTTGCTTCTTAAACAAAGGGTTCATCCAAGCATGCAGTCATCCTTTGTTCTGGACTCATTCAGACAGATTTAGTCAGGGTGCAGTAAAGTCTGGAGAACTATAAAGTAATGAGCCATACAAAAACAGAAAAGTAGGATAGAGAAACTAAGTCTTTGTCTACCTACACTGTAAGAAGTCCATAAATGACCTCTATAAGGTTTTATCTGTCACGTAGTCAACCAGCTAAGCAGCACATCATTCAGTTACTTATGTGCTCCTAAATTTAGCAGCACGTCACAGGGAGCTCAGGGATTTCACAGGTACGTTTGAAATGCTGTGAGGAATGCACACACAAGTGACTCAAACGTATGACCTCACATCCTGTTGGGGTTTCAGGTATCCACAGTGGGCCCGGCCTGACTGACTGCAGGACATACTGGTGTGTTAGCATTCAGCTGAAGCTGGTGCCAAGTTTTCTGGTCAGCTAAGCTGATTTATATTAGAGGACCTAAAAATAGCTCTGCTGACTGATGACCCGTGTTGTCATGGTGTGTGATTCAGCTTCCACTGTCACATGCAGATGTGCACAGATTTCTTTGGAAAGAGCTAATAAGGAGTGTCCACATCAACGGAAGAAATGCCACAATGAATACATACCACAGATTTCATTTGAAACTGTACACACTGGATCTTGGTCAAACTCAATCAGCTGTTTGGAAAACTCAAACCAGTCTGATATTTTGCTAAATCTATTTTAAAGATCTGATTTGAGGGGTAAATCAAATTTAGCTGCAGTTTGACTTGATTTATGTGTCAATTTTATACAATCACAGGGCCCACTAACTATGACTTACACTTCTGGAAATACTGTAAACAAACATAAATGTTATGAGTACAATATGCCTCTCAATATATTTTTGTGGAAAAAATAGTCCATCAGTTCCTGAAAAACAATTAGAAAGTGGTCATGACTCATCCTGCACTTCTGAAGTAACTGCCTCATCCACACTGAGAAATACCCATCCTTTAAAATTGAGCAGATATGTTGGAGTCTGATAAGGGCACAGGAAACGAGTAATCACATCCGACTGCAGAGTTGGGGAACACTCCCTGACTTCTGTTTTTAAAGGAAAGCTGTGCAGAACCAAATGGCATTGTGTAAAACCATGAGGCCTATGAAGTACTGTGATCAGCACAGTCACAATTACAATAGTTAACAATAACTGAAAGATTATATATTCGAACAAATGATAAAGATTATTTCAAAGCCATGGCAAAAATCAGGAGGTTGTCTCCTGCACAATTCCTCCACTGGAAGGATTGTTCTCATTTCAACACTATGTTTTAATTAGTTTGAATTTAATCAGAAAAATATCAAATCTTTGCAAGTTAAGTCCACACTTATGTTTTATTTCCAGTAATAGCCATGTCTGTTCATTTTCTTTGTTTGTATACCTAGCATGAATAAATAAATCTGCAGAAAAACAAGGATGCTTTTGTGAATCAGGCTTTTTTTTTTTTTTTTTACACACCATAATACAGCGAATTACCTTGAACACCCTTAAATAGTCTTGTGATGAGCCTGACTTGCCTCCACTGTTTCGCTGAGACACTCCAGCGTACGATGTGCACTCTGTGTGAGCCGGGTTAACACCCAGCACGGACTGAGGCTCCGTGAGGCACCAACTCCAATTACATGATAACAAGACAAGCAGTTGATGGGCGAGCCTGGAGCAACCAGACCACAGACTTCCTCCTGATCTACCCACTCACTGCGTTCTCACGTTTACGCCGACTCCACACGTTGCTTTTCGCTGAGATCAAGCGGAATAAGCCTTTAAACCGTTAACATTAGAACAGGCAGTATCTGATCACTGCTGCCAGAAAGTGCCATCTTTGATCTCCTTTATGGAACCATTCGGTTAGGCTGGAGGAGGCAGTGGAGAGGAGGAAAGGCTGCCCTCCTGAGGCTGCAGTGGCACAGATCAAGGGAAGTCCTCCTCCTGACTGTTTGGGGATTTTTGTTTTGTTTGAATGAATTCCTTACATCACTTTCAACCAAATGAGAATATTTGCTTGACTTAAAAAAAAAAAAACTGCTTTGCCTGACAATGGGAATTTTACCTTTCCAGCTAAAAAAGACAGATCCTCTGCTCCCAGTATGTGAAGGTCCTCTGTCGACTGGTCATTCTGCAGATAATGCAGATAATAAAGTTCAGCAGATATACACTGTCTCGTGGATAAGCAACAGTCCTATACACAAAGAAATGAATGGACTCCAGAACCCCACCATTATATAAGACCATCTCCTTTTTTTCCCACACATGAAAACAACACATTCAGGGCAGGATTGCACAAAGATAGCACTGTGAAAATGCTGAGTGAAATATAAACACACACATCTTCTGACTAAGTCATGAGACTCATATCCATCACTGCAAATGGTCTCCAGCACGAACGCTGCCTCGGCCTTTATCGCAGCACCGAGTGGCGCCACAGGTCACGCAGGGCTCACCAGGTAACTCTTGAGACGAATGAAGTGGACCCTCATGGGGATGGTGTGGCTGGAGTTGCGGCTGAGAATCTTGATCCTGTCCACCAGGTCGGCGCAGAACTGGTAGCCGCCTTTCAGCACACACAGCACCACGATGTCGTGGTCGCCCAGGTCGTCCATGATGTTTCGAGCCAGACGCTCCGTCCTGCAAAGATGAAGAAGAAGAGACTCTGATGAGAGTGGTCTCAAATGTTTTAGTCTTAGGATCCCTAAGACTATTAATGCAAACTGCAAACACAACTCAAATAAACACAATACCTACCACAAAGGTTTACACGCTACACAGAAAGAAAAAGAAAAACTGCCATTTAACACGTGTTCTGCTTTGTTGCTGTTTCTATTTTTCATTTATATTTACCTTTTTCATGGAGTTAAATTTGATTTCTAAATATCTATTTCAAAACCCTGAATCAAATAAATCCAATGAGGATCAAACAGGTCAAATAAAAAACATCACAAGAGGGTGGACAACAGGCAACACAGTTATGTGCACAGTAAGGGTACACTGACTGATGTTTGGTAAAGTTAAGCAACTTTTTTTAAACGGCTTCTTCTACTCCTTCTGTGTGCTAAATGGGAACTACTGAGCATGCACAGAGAACTTAAGCCAGTTTACCCATATCTAGTTGTAAATAAACATATATACATTTAATTTCTAATTATTTTAGTATAACTAGCAGGCTTAAAACACCTGCATAAGTCAGCAAATTGCTTCAGATTCCTCTGTAGCAAAGGAAAAACAGGAACATCCACTATTCCATTGCACAATCTTTGGGAGCCATAAAAGCCACTTTCTATTATATATGTCCTGTTTTACTATGTTTAATGTTGTTAAGCAGTCTGAAACAAACATATATTTCCCATTTGTGCATTTGTCTTTCCTTTCTCAATTCCAGAATCTTCATAAATAAGTAATATTCAATATTGCAAATGAATATATTAAATTATATATATGAAATGGCCACTGTGTTGCAACATAAAATTGCATGAGAAGAGGAATCTCCAAAACCTTTAATAGAATACTTCATCAACAGTCTTCTAGTGCAGACCCACTTCACAGCTGGGTGTAAAGTTGGTTTGTCCCTGCTGCATATTTCCAGTGCCCTTACAAGTTTCACCAGCCATTTTTAGCAAAACCTGCTGACCTTTTCCAGTGAGATCAAGGAAAAGAGCTATTCCACCACAGCCATTAAACAGATAAGTAAATATGTTTTTATTGAACCCTACTTCCAGGTCAAAGACACAGTTGGAAGCCTGTGAAAAATGAAAAAAATTGCCCAAATCAATTCCAACTGCTTTATCACAGTGTGTTAGTATGACTGTAAAGAATTCAACTTACCGTTAGCTCAATAGGGATTAAAAAAAAACATTTAAAAAAATATTTTCATCCAGGTTTACTTGCTTTCTATAATGTGTGAGAAGTTTTAGGACTTATTGGGGGAACTGAGTCCACAGATCACACTTTTCAGAACCTAAGGACTAAGGAAACGTGTTTTTTCAAACTATATCTAGTGAAAGCTAATTCTATTGGACAATAAATTAAATATCACACATTTGCTTGTTTGTTTTTGCCAAACATGATGGTGAACTGAAAAGTTAAATGAAGTTAAACTCATACAAACTCAACTCGTAAAAAAGATGATAACTGGAAAATCTGAGAATAATCTATTTCTGACCGGTTACGTCCAAACCTACCAACACCTTTGTAATCTTTGGGCTATTGGACAACCTCGGAGCAAAACATGCCTCATCATAGTTTGTCAGACAGCAGCAGGAAGCTCCAGAGGCTTGCTGGAGTCATTCACCTGTCCATTATGACGCCATGCGGGATGATGACACAGTCTAGGTCTCCGGAGTAGTGAGCTGGGTAGCTGAAGAGGTCTAAGCTGTACCCCGGACAGTCATCGCTGATCTGAGAGGAGAGAGACACACGCAAACATTAAGACGCGCTCATCTGCTGTGCCGAGTCTTCTGCAAAGTTTGCGCAAACTTTTTGTCCGCACCACTAACGCGCGTGGCTTTGCAGAACGCTAAAACTTCACTGCGCAAAATGTGCATCCAAGAATGTGCAAACGCGTCTGTGCGCCGCGGTTCACTTGTTCGCTCATCTTATTGAATTACCACAATTCCCTTGCTTCCCCTGTCGACGGCAACATCAGCCATGTTGTTTCCCGTCACCACAAAAAAGGGCCTCTTGTCTCTCGGCAAAGTAAGGGGTGTGGGATTGCGGAGAGGTTTGGCACCGGGAGCAGAGAGGAGGAGCGTTTTTAGTGGAGGAATGTGAGAATCCACCAGTGTGCGGTTGTTGTCGTTCAGCCCTGCAGCCGCCAGGGGGGCTGCAACACAACTTATGTCAGAGTCACAGACCCGGTGCTCTGAGGCAGGGCCTCACTGTTTACTCAGGCTGGTCAAGGACTTCAGGGTTGGCAAGTCAGCTTTTACACAAACTAATGGAGGAAGTGTGGAGGATATTTGTTTATTTAAAAAGCCGAGACTGAGAATAAAGCTGCACAAACAGCCCGGCGTTCGGTTTAGATTAAGATTCAAACGGATCTTATTCTGTCACGGCCCTGCGCCCCTTTTAATAAAAAGTAACGGCACAAGATCCACATACACACACAACATATTTTGTGTTTTGTCTGTACCTTATGAAGCTCCTGCAATCTTAAAGCAGATCATTGCACATATTTGTGAGAAGCCCTCCAACCCTGCACGGATGCACGACAGGCTGAGAGGCACAAAATGATAGAAGACCTCCTCTTAACTCAGATGTTTATGGTTGTGTGCATCCCAAATGTCTCCTGTGTTTAAGGGCGGCTACTTGTTCATTTTGCATCTGTTAACGTTGCTCCATTTCTCTTTGTAGTCATTGTAAATCTTTAGTTGTATGTCTGGTTTGTGGTTGTTGTGAGTCTCTCTTGTTACTTTAAAACTTTATCTGCACTCATCTGAAATTGATTTTGTCAATGCATTGTTTTGCCCTAATATTTATTTAAAATCCCAATTGGACATTGTGTAGTTTTTGTTCTTCAGTGTAATAATACTGTGCCTGTGTTTGAGTTTTCCTAATTTTGAATTTTGTGGCTGTGATTTGTCATTTAGAGTAGCTTCCTCATCACTTTGCTATAAGTGTTTCTACTTCTTCGTTTGTTGTGTGTTTTTACTCATTTTCACACTTACTATGGTTGCTCTGGATCATTCTGAATCGAAGTGAGTTGTATTGAGCCATTATGCATCTTTACGCCTCAATGTAAAGGGGAGGTTAAATATAAAGGTACTATCTTCAAACGGAGTCTCCAAATCATGCAAACCTGAATGTATGAGTGTGGTATTTGATCATATTTTGCACATTTTTAAATTCTCTGATTTCTATTGTTCAAATTGAAAACAGTTTTCTGTACTACAAACTCAAATGTAAGTGCAAGTAAAAACAGGAGGTGTGCAAAAAGGCTCTTCTTGGTGTTGTGTAAGCTTAGATGCAAAAAGAAAAATGGCAATTCTTCGAAAATGGGAAACTACATATAGTTACACTTGTGATTAATACAGATATTATCATTATTATTACTATTATTATTATTATTTGTTATTATTATAACGTATATGATTACAACTCACATTTGTTACCATTGCCATCTAGTGGACAGAGACAGATTTCTGCATTTGTGTAACAGTTTTGTTTCTCATTTAATTGAATCTTTTGAACTTTTCTTTTGAACTTTTCTAAAATTCATGTTTTTACCACTAAAACTAGTTTTAGTTTGGTACTGTTGGAGATCCAGGTGCCCCACCTTTCTCCTATGTGTGGTAGAAAATGATCTTCTTTGCTTTTACAGTGTGTGAATGAGTGAGTTTTGGACGCACCACTCAGGATCATGTCCAGCAGCAGCAGCAGCAGCAGGATCTGGGTTGTTGTGTCGCTACACATTAGAGCCATCCGCTGACCTGCTTTGAAATGGGGTGACAAGGTGTCTGGGCCACCCACCCGTGTGCCTCTACAGCAGCTGTAATTTAAACAGCAACACAATGAAAGCCGGGGAGGCACACATCAACAGCAATTTTGGGGATTTTGGTCTGCCTGTGCGGTCTCAGCACCTCAGCAGAAAGTGGATGTGTTGAAACTCTCAGTGTGACGAAAACTCTCAAAAATAAGAGAGGAAAAACACTGACTGTCTGCATATGTTTCGCTGCAGGCCCGATGCCGGAATAATCGAGCTAATCTTTATCACCGCAGCGCTGAGCGGTACTACACGAGCCAGAAAAATGTTTCTGGAAGAAACCGTGTCAGATTGCTTTTGATGCCCTCTCTGCTGGCGAGACCCGGGCGGCTCCTCCGGTGCCCTCGGGGTGCAGGGGAGCAGTCTGGCTTTGGCATTTCACACTCGCTCAGCAGTCAAGGCCTGTGACCATCCACAGACTTTACCGCCAACTGCTCCCTTACACTCTCAACCCCGTTGTTTGGTCAATTATGAATATTCAGTTGCTATGAGAGTAATTCTGTCGGACATGCAACTGTCCAGCTCAATAATGTCAGCGGTGTTGTTTGTAGTATTTGAACAGGGGCTATCACCATTCTCCTCTTCTATCAGATTCGGATATCTATGTCAACAGACAGCTAAAGCAAATAGTAGAGATGACCTAAATTTATTTGATATTTATTTCACTCATTCTTTCTTGCCATATTTCTAAACCCCAATGCAGAATATTATTGCAATATGCAAATGAGTATGGAGCCCCAGTCAGACATAGTGGCACTATTTGCAGGCTTGGATAATTCTGAAAATCTTCTGAAGTAACCGCAAACAAACCTCTTGTTGTGTGGTAAGAATATTTTAATCAAATATTTAAGTACACCGAATAAGAACCTGTGCTGATAGCTTATGTCACTCTTTTTACAATGTGTTTATTTCATTAAAGGTTCCAGGGAAAATGAAAGGATTAAATCTCTCTGAAGGTGTTCTGTTGATTGCTGGTCAGAGTTTGTTGCTGTCCAGTCTGAACCAGCTTGCTTCTTTCATTTCAGTTGTTATTTCATGTTGGTTATGATGTCTGTTAACCGGCTAAACGTCACAAAATCATAATTTCATTTTGTTGACAACATGGAACATATTTATTTACAAAAATGCCAGTTTGACTTTCTGATTTATTTTTTTCTCAAACATTAAGCACATCACTAGGAAAGCAGTTCCACCTTATCATAACACTTACTCCAACTTTCTTGCAGTCCAGGTGTCTGTGTTTTTTCCCCACAAACTAACAAACAAAATTTCTCAACATCACTATAGGAAACGGGATTTTAGGACCTCTGGTGATCTCTCTCAATCTTTGAAATGGATATTTTGATTTCTCATGTGGTGCTCTTCTTGTTGCCAATATAAAAATAAATGCAAACAGGCAGCTTCTTTTTAGACAGTAAATCATCATTCATTGGTTTATTCAGGTCATGTGAACACTGGGAAACTGATTACAGATCAGCCTTTCTTGTTATTTTTTACTTCAAATACTCTCAAAGTTTAAAATTAGTATACACATATTAAAAATATGATTTAGCAATTTAGGGGTTCACATTGGAACTGGACTGCAAATCCCCATCATTAAATACAGTAGCCATCAATGAAGCCCGTTTTGTTTGTATGTGAGTAATTTTTCTTTAAAACTACCATGCACAGCTTTCTAAGAAAACTACACTTTACAAAAAGATGTGACTAGCTTCTGAGCCTGGGGCTTTGCACCACAAATATATAGTGTATAAGAGTGGATGTGCTTTGTAAATATGATAAAAATGAATATTCACAATTTGAATTTGTCAGTTTTTGATTATAAATGTGTCGCACACTCGTATTTTAAGTGGTTCTCACAGAGGTCAGATATCAACTGTATAAACATAGCTTGTATTATTCTGAGTGCATGCCAACTAATATGCTGGAGAAGAAGCCATTGTTGTAAGAGTACATATTCATTTGAATGGGGATGCCTTTTGCCTTTACACCCTTTGCTTCACAGTCACCTACCACAGCAGTGAGTTTGACTATCATTGTGCCACATACTCCTTATCGAGGAAAACCTTCTCTTTTCGCCTCTGTAAGCCACACAATTAAAAATGAAAACAATAGAAAACAGCTGATATATGACTGCACTGTATTACATATAATTTTAATTAGTTGAAAATCCCCTTCAACAGAGCAAGTCAAGCACAGCAGTGCACATAAACACATGTAGAAAGTTCATGGGCTAACTCACGAGAAAAAGCCAACAAAAACAGTTACAGCCTACATTAAGCAAACCATTAAAATATACAAAAACAATAAAGCCATTCAAAATGAAAAGCAAATTTAAACAAAAGTTGGATCGCTCTGAATAAAAAAAGAAAGAACTTCTCGTCCCATATATAGTAATTTACTTTTACTGATAGTACTGAAAAGACTTAAATCCAAATTAGTTCTGAGGTCAACTGAACCATATATTGATGTATATGTAAATTATGTTTTACAGAAGACACAGTTCAATAAAAAAGGAAAATGCAAGTTGATCTTGACATCAAAACATCTCACGGCTGAGCAGCAGGTCAGGTTCACCCATGTTTCTTTGGCCATTATGATGAGTGGCTTTGAGCTCCAAGCGTCTCTGGACTTAGGTTGTAAATTCAGGAGCTAAGATCCACCGTGGAAGCAACTCTATTACCATAATGACTTCCCTCTTTAAGTGGATTGTGGCTTCACATATTGAAAACTCAGTTACAGACATCCTTGACAAACTTTCTTTTGCACCGACAGTAATTTTTCTTTTCCTATTCCTTGCGACGAGACAGGGTAAGTCACCTGGCTGTTTTTCTTTTGGTTACACGAGCATTTTGGCATAGTCAGACTTTCGGTTGCAGAGATGGTGACAAAAAAATCATGAATGTTTCTCCTCGTCCAGCAAAGATCAACAGAACATCTGATTTATAGTATCACATCAATAAACCAGGCTTCTCTGTAACTGCCACTCCATCAGTATGCTGAACCAAAGCCAACATTGTGTGAAACTAGTTGGTATCTTGCATCTTAATGAATCATGTCAAGCTTGTCTGATTTGATGACAAGTATTTATTTATTGTTTTACAGATAACATACTTCACAGGGTTACCTTAGAGGTAAAAATCTCCTGACAGAACTCAGTTTTGACTCGTCGGAGACAGAGGGGGAAGATGAACATACTTTTATCGAGCACACATTGTAAACAACTGAGCAATATTTAAGTCTAAATGGCGTACCATAGAATAGGTGAGAGATAACAAAATGTAAGTAAGACGATGTGCCTCTTGCTTGCAAAGACAAAAGTTTCATTTTTACAAAAAACAAATAATGGTCACTGACAAATTTTCTACTTTTTTTTTTAGTGGCTGAGAGGTAGAATGACATATTTTCAGTTAAAACCAATGATTTTATTCATTTACTTTATTTATCTTATCATTTCATCATAATGAGCGAAAACATTACGAGTGAATAAGGAACCCCAGCCCTCTGATTATAATGTGAAATCTGTACAAACTCTCCTTTGATTGCAATGTTATTTTGAATTTTATTGTGAAACTTGTTTGTATCCCAAAAGTCCAACGTTTTAAGCAGAGGAAACATTATTTCATTTTTCAGGTTAGGATTTCACAGGACCTCTCTGAACTGCCGAACAGTGAACTCCTTTGTTTAATACTGTGAAGAGCAACATCAGTCCTTTCTTTTCTGTGGATGAGGTGTACAGATGGATATATTCAGTTGGAAGTATCTGAATGGACGCTCCCGGGTCCTTCTGTGGGCGATGTCACTGACGAAGGAGTCGGAGCATCTTGCCAGCCACCGTTTGTCTGTGAAAATAAGACAAGAAAAATGGTTGCGTTGTGGAAACATGGAAAAACTGGGTGCTGCATGACGAGTAAAGGGGATTCTTAAAGTCCCCATAGACTTACATCTACATGCAAAATATTAGCATGCTGCCTGCTTGTCTGGACCTTAAATAAAGGATGAGCAGCACTACACAGTTTTTGTCCAATCACATGAAATAGAGCCTCAGTCTTAATAAAAGAAAGGAAATAGATAATCTATATGTAATCTATAATGTATATATATCTATATATATATATATATATATATATATATATCTATATATATATATATATATATAATCTATATATATAGTAGGTATAGTAGATAAGCATTTAAATCTTCTTTTATATGTCCCCACACAGAAAAACTGAGTGTTATATATGTTCTATGATCCAAAATGAAATTACGCTATACGTTTGTGGATAAAACATTTTTTAGACACAAATATGGACAAAACAATGATCATTATAGTTAAAAGGGTTTGATTTCTGACACTATCTTAACATCAATCTTAGATTATTTCAATTCGATGCATCCAGGACTCTATAAACACAGTGAGATAAAATGTTTTAGTAGAAAGTTTACATATTTCAATATGAGTCTGAGGTTTGACAATTAAAAACTAAAAGTCCTCAGGCAGTAATAAATAACATATTCTGCCACTGTAAATCACTGTCCTTTTGAATACACTCACCAGTAAATATAACATTCTATTGCTCCTGTGTGAATAAAATCTATACTGACTAGATGTTCCACAATAGGACAGATCTATTCAGAGAATATCACAATCCTTTCATTTCAGGAACAGTGTGACATTTTGAAAAATAGATTTCTTTGACCAAAAGTTAGAAGAAGAACTTTGATATCCTGATGCTCCGAAAACAATCTAGAGCTGGAGAAGCCAAATCTGTCACAACACAAAGAAAAAAAAAGTCCTTATTGGCTGATTTTTATTCATTATTTATTTTCTCTACTTTGTTTAAAACTGAAAAACAATCACAGTGATAACTTGAATCAAGGGAAGTCACTGTGGCAGCTCTTACTTTTGCATAGATTAAATAAATAAATCCTGTTTGTTTGTTTGATTTATTCCCAAGAAAATAATCCCCTCATGCCATAAAATGTCTTAGATGTAGCCCACTTAGTATGCACAGAATTATGAATATGCAAATTGGTCACCGCCTATTCGTGTTCAAAACAAAAACAATTCCATAGTGGAAAAAGAAGATCAAATTGAAAGGAGCTGCTACCAAGCTGAGGAATGGTATCAAATCTTAGGTACAGACATCATGAAGTCAGAGTGAATGAAAAAAAAAATGTTTTGTGATTATGCTATTGAATATCTGATTATGTGTTCTTGGAAAAAAACTAATATTAGATTAACTTTGCTCTTGATTGTTAACCCACTGACAAATTAACCATGCAAACCTCCTTTTTTGGCCCCTTACTGCAGTTATGTGTGAAACTGCACGGCAGTGGGGATCTGCATGTTATAGTCATGATCTGCATGTTAGAATCTGCAGATCTTCTGTTGTGGTTTTCTTTTTAAAAGAAACCAAAGTAGTATGACAAATATTCACTAGAGCACCAGGTGTGAAATATTTGTAGCAAAGAAATGTCCCCAGAAAAATTACTATAATAGTTATATCACCATCTATATCCTGATTATAATTTTGGGCAATAGCAAACTTCAGTACAATATTTAAACAGTTATAACCTGTTAAAGGTTAAAGAGGCTTTTTTAGCGAGCCCTAAAAGGGGTAACATAATTGTAAACAGTGGTCATCTGTGTACAACAGGCACTTCAACAGGTTAAGTACAAATAGGCTTAAAAATATATTTCATGCCTTTGCAACAGTTTTTTCCTTCACCATAATAGACAAAATGTTAAAATGAAAGAGGACAAGATGCAGAATGCATAGAGCTTCCGTGTATCTCAGAATATACCCCTGAGATGGTTGATAAAAGAAGAAATTATCACAATAAATAATAGCTCTTTAAAATGGAAGCCATCTCAAATCATGATAAAAGGTCGACTAAAGACCATTTAGGACATTAACTGCAATTTCCACGCTATTAGTGAGTGCTGGGAATGTGCTTTGGCAGCCTCTTATTTCCAAACCCTGTTATTTTGCGTAAAGACCGTCTGTCATCTCATTCAGAGGCAAAAAGAATGAAAAAAAAAGAAACACATTTTCAGTCTCAGAGAGAGGCTACACCCACCAGCAATTTAAGGGTGTAATTGCTGTTCAAAAATAAAGAAAGAGAGGTGAACCACAAGAGTTCAGTCAGTAAATCTTTGAGGGAAAAATATCATTTCAGTTCCATAAATACAAAACTTAATTTACAAGCTTCACTAAAACAGCAATTTTTTTGTTTGTATGATCAAATCACGATACATGTCATGTCATTCCCGTATCCAGTGCTTCTGTTTTTATTATTTTGGAGATCTCTCACAGTACTTACTAGTTTCTTTTTTAATTTGATTTTTTCAAATCAGAATTTGATTTTAAGTTCTGACACATTTTTAATGAAGCATTTCTAATTAACACTCTTAGGTTTCACAAAAACTCACACATTATGAATACAATTTCAACGTTAAACTAATTTTCTTTCAACGCTTATTGTTCAATATCATTATATTAGTATTTCCTGCAGAACCATGCAGAATTTGATAGATATTATCTTTCCAAGCAAGTGAAAATTATATTATGCTGTGTCTCAGTAGAAAACAACCAAAGAATTAGTTATTTGTTAAATTGCACTAAAACAATTTTATACATAAATTGCACATCCATGACAGGCCTAAACAGGGCTGAAGTTTCGTAAATGTTCTTAAGCGCAATGAATGAGGCTCATCTGAAGAAATTCACTTGTCTCTTTGTCTAACTACCAGCTCACTATATGCCGGATAACTAGTGCCATTTGAACCTGTTGCATGTTGTTGCAAGCTGTATGTTTTCCTGCTCTTATTTTAGCATCAGGAGGGTTGCAGACTGGGCTGTCAGTGCTGTTGTTCCTGTGGATGACTGATCTGACCAATGTGCTTGGACTGTTAGCCCAAAGCCCCGCTCTTTCTGTCCCTGTGACTGTCTTATTGATTCTGCTCAGCCCCACACACCCTGTCGCTATGGATCTGCATGCTAACACACTGCCTCCAGTGTTGCGTGTCCCGCCCAGCCCAACCTAACCCCTTCCAGCCCAGCAAGGAAGCAGATAAAGACAACCGGTCCATCCTTTGACAGCCAAGCTAGGTTGTCATCTTAAAAAATAGAAACAGGGAACTTTGTGTTGTGAAGCAGGCTTTACACTGGACAAAGGGTATGAAAAGTCCCATAGTGCCAATGAGAGAGCAGCGTTGGGAGGATGACACCTGTGTCCTTCCTGTTAACTGCAGGTGACTCACTAACGCTAATACCTTTCGACATGTCCATCTCGTACTCAGCCCGGTAGCTGCCTCACTGGCTGCCACCGAAAAAAAAAAGATGAGTGGAGCAGCGAGAGGGACAACTGGCTAGAAAACAGCCTGACCCTGCCAAAGTCTGCTGAGTGGCATCGCAACGAGAGCACAGATCTAGACACGATTTTAAGTATCCCGTCACTGGGGAGTGATTCCAAAGCATCACAGCAAGACAAATGTAGAAGAGGACAGAAGGATTGTTTACAGGTCTTACGTTGATGCCCTGTGGACTGTACATCTGGCTGGCTGCGAGGCTGTCACTGTATCCTCCGGTCTGGCTGATAACATGGCGAAGGGTATCCACCTGGAACAGCAGGGACACAGACAAAAGGCCTGGTCAGACAAAAGCACGGGATAACAAAGACAGCAATGCACCAGGAAAGGTCAGGCTGATAATAAAAGGGTATCAAAAACAAGAAAAGGTTACAAACAGCGAATCTGAATGATTTGGCTGCATATTCAATCTTGATAACAAACAAAGCAAAAGGACAAAATATATGGAATTGTAGAAAGTAACCAGGTATGTAAGTGTATTTAGTTGTTGAAAACATTTTTTTTTTTTAAAACAGGGAAACAGTCTGATCATTTTCTCACCGTGTTTGCTTTATATGAAAACATGCCAGCAGAATGATTAACTAAACATGAAATGGGAGCAAACGCAAATTTAAAAAAGTTAACTACATATGATGTTAAGGAGGCCTTCATTCTGTTTAGCGTAGGGTTAGTTGAAATACTGCCAATGAAATGTTATCTATGATTTCACAGAAAGCTGCTTGTGTACAAAAACAGAACATACACCAACTGAGCAGTATGACTTTTAACATTTAATAAATGTCCCTCGTCTAATCGTGTTAGACAGTTTAGTTTAAGGCAATTCGCCATAGAAAAGTGAAAGTTCAGGAGACCACTAGATCTAATTGACATTTCACGTCTATATTCTTAAGTAGACAGAAAAGAGACAAATAATCTTTCAAGCAGGAACTACACTGATCTCTGCTGTGCCGAGCTTTCCTGTTCTATGTGCACCTTATATGTAGTGAACAGGGTTTCTGGTTACAATACTGAGATGTGACATATTGCTGATGTTATGACACTGCTAGAGGCTGTGTGAAATAAGTGCCACTGAGTGTGAATGGCATGAGTATCTGAATGCTGATTGTTCATGATGAGGTAACAATTTAAATATCGTACATTTATTTGTTTCAGTTTTAAAAACTTGGCAAAATAATTGAGCTAAAAACAGTAACAATATAGTAAATAACTATAATAAAATTGCTTGTGTCAAACATCAACAAATTATATTTAAATGTGCAATTATCCGTTTGAAAAGTGGTCAGAATCAGCTAATGAAGGATTAAAACACCATACTGAAAAAAACCCCACTGAAGCCAACATGTTGATGTCTGTCGTCTTAAATGCATATAAAACCAGGCCAGTTTACTCAGAGTTGCAGTTTCTTCTTTCATTTCGAATTGTCCAATTGTTTTATCTCCACTCCTTAAGAGTGAGAACATTCTGACTAACTTTTCTTTCCAAAGGCAAACCCAATGACTTTTTTACCTCCTATAAGGGAACTCCCTATTGCATATTCATGAATGACCCCAAGCATTTGCAGAGCTGATCTAAATTGAAAAGAAGGGAGAGATAAGGAAATCATGCTAAAAGCATTGAAACCAAAAGAGAATTTCACCGTGGGTGGTGATTTCTTAATAAATGGTGAGAGTTGTAGCACTGTGTTGGTCATAACTGTCCACTGGGGCAAGGTCAGGGAGCCACAGAGCACCAGTGGCTATGTGAACTCTTGTCAGGAGTGTTGACGAGTGTTGCAATGTTTCCAAAACTGTCTGCAGTAGTCTATTCAACATTGGCTTGACAATGGTATCTCCATTAACGCAAAGCTTCGGGCTAGGCTCACCCTCTATTTCACTGTGTAGGTCAGCTTGTTCTTAACTCCCAGGACCATCATCGGTTGAGCAACATCACAAATTGTGTAATTTTCTTTCTTGAGTTTTTTTGGTCACGTAGTTCGCAAAGCTTGGAGAGGGGCCTACCTGGGATTGTATGTTGGCCCCAACCTGCCCCCCTTGGTACGAGTCCCCATTGAGGGACTGCACACTCATGAACAAGTCTCCGGAGTTTGACATGTTAAAAGAGCCAGCAGAACCTGAGAATACACAGAGGCAGAGAGGAAGAAAGAGAGCAGGTCAAAGGTTTGGAGAGAGAAGAACGAAAGAGAGATGGAGAAAGGAGTTAAAATGATCATGCATAAGCAAAAGTGCATTAGGTGTGTTAGTTTGAAGGGGTTGCAGGCGTCTTGAAAAAAACTTTCCTCACATGGTGGGGACAATAGGTCAACTTTAAAAAAACAACTGGACCATATCTTAAAAGAGAAATCCATCAGCGAGAGCAGACAGAATGTCAATGTAAAACTATTTTGGTTAAAACTAGGCTTATGAATAATAATACTGTTGAATGTCTGTGCTGCTAGTGTTTCATTAAGGAAGTAATAACTGATGCGCAGGAAGACCCAAAGAATCGTCTACGTCCTTTAATAGACCCCAGCTCCCCAGATGTAAAGAGACCATCGCGTAACTTGATTTCAACACCCGGTCCTAATCCAATACAGTTGCAAAGTCTCTATATGACAAAAGACTTCGCTTGCCCTCTGAGCAGCTTAATGGCATACATGAGGTCAACCGGACAAGAGGCAGGAAAAATTAACGTCCACAAGACCAAGAGGTCAATAAAAGAGAGCCGCAGAAGGAAAATGAGAAAAAAAGACTGAAGGAAAGGCAGCGGAGGAAGAGAAGAAGGGGAACGAGGGCAGCAATAAAGCCAAAGCAAATGTCTGGATTAATCAGGGAGAAGATGGACGTTCTATCAACCTAAAGGAAACACGACCAGAGACTGAATTCCTGAGTCAGAGTCAGAGTCAGAGTGTGAGAAGAAAACTCTGTGCATCAGTCTGGTGCAGTATATAAAAAAAAGGAATTTCCCAGTTAATGGAGTGTTGCTTAATGCAACAGAACAACCTTGTTTACAGCCTCAAGCTCACCTGCTGAATTGGGAGTTGATGGGGAGTTGGCCTGGCTGCCGTGAGCCGACACACTGGTTGCATTGACTGCAGTCCTAGCTGCATACATGTTGGCCTCCTCTTGGAACTTGCCAATGTTTTTCTTGTATCGGATTCTCTTGTTTCCGAACCAGTTTGATACCTGAAACGAAATGACAAAAGCAGACGGTTAAATTAGAGCAACGGTAATGTCGATACCTTCATTTGAAGACTGCTTAATGCACTATTTAGAAAGAATTTTTTGTTTAAACAATGACCACCAAATAGTCTGGTTTTTGACAAGCTGTTTTCATGCATTATCATGGGGGATATTCCAGAAAATATAGGGACAAATGGTTCTGGATCGTTTAGATTGTTGCTGTTCTGAAATCTTCCACAGCAGCAGACTTTGTGTTGTCTGAGGAAGGGGGCGGGTATCTGACTGAAGCACAGGGAAGTTGGGACTGATGCTGAAATTAGGTCGTGGAGATTGAGGCGTTTTTTGTTGAGAATGGATTGTAAAGCCATTTCTTTTTTAATCAAACTAATATTAAATCTAAAAATATCCAATATTCTTATTACTTTAATTTAATGTTATCTTTTTAAATCAAACAGCAGCTTCTGTGTGTCTAATGAAATCTTTTCTAAGTTATCTATTGGAGTTTTTTTCTGTACTTTTCGTGAGATAGAAAATTTGCATAAATACACACTGGAGCAATGTTACTTGAAATTTGCCTATAGAGAAATTTAACATAATTAAATCAATGTAATCTGGAAAAATTAACAATGTAAATCTGAGTAAAAATATCGTTACATAAAAATGTTACACCTGTACTCATATGTGAGTGTTGCAAACTCTACGAATAAAGCGTTATTGTTTTTTTTTAATAATAGCTGGCACTGATTAACTCCCAAGTTATTACTCTACTTGCCTGACATCACCTACTTGACAATTACTTCACAAAAGTGTCATTAACGAATCATAATAAGTGGAAACTAAAGGTCACCAGAATCTGAAGCCCACCGATTTCAAACATCAAGTCAAGTAGTTTTGATTTTGATGATTACCTGTGAAACAGTGATGCCACATTTCTTGGCCAGCTCTTCTTTGGCCTCCTCACTAGGATACGGGTTACTGAGGTGCGAGTAAAAGTACTCGTTTAGGATCTCTGTAGCTTGCTTGTTGAAGTTCCTCCTCTTTCGTCTGGATGTAAACAGAAAGTAAAACAAACATATACAAAATTGAAAGTTAGAGAATTATTTGTTTGTTTGATCAATTACATAATTAATCAAAACTCTTTTCCCCTCATTGGAAGCTATCAATTATCAAAACAGATTTGTCAAGCTGCTATAATAGGAAAACAAAAACCGTTAAGTAAACCATAGATTTCAGACTATAAATTTAAAGAGCAAAATTCTATCACCATAAAGCACTTCAAACAGAGAAGTAGGTTTGTGTTTTAACCAGACCTGGCATCAAGAAAGCGTGAGCGCAGGATCATGACGGCCTCACAGGTGCTCTGCTTCAGCTGCATCTGGATGGAGCTGAACTTACGGTGGATTATGCTGACCATGCGCTCGATCTCTTTGGGCGAGATGGGTCGTGTTCGAGACTGCTCCCTCAGCAGGTTCATCACATGGGTGGTGAACTCATTGCACGCCTGAATGCACAGACAGACAGGATTCATAAGAAGAATAACTATCACAGAGACTCGACAGCTTCAGAGAGAACAAAAGGGTGAAATTGGATTCTGGAGAGGCTGCACCTTCACTGGTGGGCTTCATACGAGCGGAGCTGACAGTGTAACAGCAGAAGTGTTAGAGGTAATAAGAATAGTCTAAATGAAAGTAGGAGACACGGTGCAATGTTTCAAGCCAAACAAATGTGGCACAAGAGTCATACAGTGGAGGCAGCGAGACTCACGGCGCTCGGAATATTAAAAAGACTTCTTTCAATGGAAGGGAAAATGTGACAAGTGAAGAGAAATCTAAAATGACAGCAAGCTTTCAGTCCCGTTCACGTTCAAGAGGTTTAAACTGTCTCCGTCTCTTTTCACTCCATCTTTAAGTCTACCTCTTTCTCTCTCTGTCTGAATCAGTCACTGGATATGACTGCATTCAGAGTCAAGGTGTCTGTTGCTTGTCAACACCAGGGTTACGTCAGTCAAAGTGATGCGCTGAGCAGCCGTTCTGCTTGCACACACACTCGAGACACTACTCACTCATACACATGTGGGGTGTACATAGCATGGTGACACAAAAATGCTCAGGTGTATATTGATTGTGACAGTTAGCGATGACTAGCCTTCCTCTGAGAGGATGACAAACCCAGAACGCTTTGACTTCCGAGGGAATGACAAGACGTTACAGTCTTTGGAGGATAGCTGGTGTGTGACTGATATAATGGCTGCTTGCCTGCTGAAGATAGTATCTCTGAAAAGCCTGGTTTGTCATGAGTTGTCCTGTGAGTTTGGATCTCAAGAGCATTATACTACCATACTAAAAAAAAGAGTTCAAAGTTGTCATGAAAATGTCTCTTTTATATATCAGTACATCACTTACTTCTATTTCCCTACTATAATTTTCAATATTTTCCATTTTAAAGATGGCAAAAAGATACTCTCTCGAGTAATATAAAGTATGGTCACTTAGGCCCACTTTTTAATTATTCTTTGGCTACATCTTTTATCTACCATAAAAACAAGAGGCAGATAGACCTGTGGTGTGCATTCAGATTCACAACATAAAAATATTAGGGGTGTTGGGAAGGCCACTATGACTGTCATAAATCAAGCCGTAAGTATAGAAAAAATACATTAAATGCACTGTGATACGCTAAATGTTTATTTTTATGTAAATTTCCTATTTCTCACTTTTGTTTTGGTTTTTTCTCAGTAAATCAGCAAATAATAATCAACAATCAAAGAGGAAATTTACAAGACATTTGGTTATTAACTGTTCTTCAGAAGATTAATGAACTGTTCACCTGCTCTTGGAAAGGGGCTAACCCACTGAGATTGGATGCAGTCTAAGACTGTATGTGATTATCCTTTTCAGACCTGGAGCAACATTAGCATGCCTCTTCCTGTCAAACCCAATATGACACACCAGGGTTTTAGATTTTGTTAGTCAGTACAGTTACTGCTTCATTGTTTGAGTAAAGAGCTCAAAATGATTTCTGACGTTGGAATCCAGCCCGTTTACAGTAGGTATGTAATGATTATTTATTGAAACAAAACCGCAGTATGAATGTCTCCTACATACAGAGGAACTGAGCATGCATAATCCATGAAATGCTTCCATGAGAGAACACCGACTGTGTTTTAGAGCAGCAGGTAATAAAGAATGAGGTTGCCGTTCCCCACCTGTTCATACTTCTCCAGCTCTGTATGGTAGATTTGTCGGATCTGAGACAGCTTTGCACGGTAATCAGAGTGTTCTGCTGAGTTGTCAGCACCAACTCCACCTGTGGCTGCTGCAGCGGCCGCCGCCGCTGCTGATCCACCACCTTTCTCCGGTCCGGCCACGCCCTCCGCCAGCAGCATGTTGTCCAGTCGCATCAGTTGGGGATCCGGAGGCTCCTCCTCCTGGGCACCACGGATACTGAGCACTGCGGAGGACAGAGCAGCGTAAAAATGAAAACATTGGCACTGACAGCCCCTTTCAGCGCTGAACGGCGCGGTGAAGGTGTTTTATAACGGCTAAAAAAAAAAAGCCTTAACTGCTGCTCTTGCTCCAAATTACTGAGAGAAGTTTGAGAAATATGGCTGTCGTTATAAAGTTCAAGCCTGCGCCATAAAAACCTGCAGACTCACAGAAGCAGGCAGCTAAGTAAGATCATAAAATGATCATTTCATCGATTCTGACTATCATTTCATTTAAAAATTCACACAGAGTTCATCTGTCACAGTTCTCGGTATGTTTGGGATGTGTTTCGAGTAAGTGATGGCTTTTACTTTTGAGATGGAGTCTATACACGTAAACACACAAACATGAGTCTGACACGGTTACGTTCTGACAGACTAAAAAAACAATCTAACCTCGGATATAGTCCAAACAAAAAGACATTGATTAATGAGATCAGTAATGAGCAGTAAAATATTTAAGACTAATCGTGGTTACGGGAACAACACATTTCTTTAACCTGTAATGCAGGATTTTGGATTTCAAATTAAACACAAATAAATTCCACTATTATTTTTACACTAAAAATAAAGCGCTGGCGCTACAGGGAGATCTCAAAATTAAAGACCAAAGGTGGCTTTACGATAGACAAGGGATCACATCCATGTGACATAAATGCTCTCAGACTAATGTGCACGCACACCCACAAAAACGGCCATGCTCACATACGCACCTCCAGTCACTCCCCCTATACGACAGATGGATGTGGAACAAGATACTCTCCATGAAAATCTCCATTCTGTCGGCTCTTATAATAGCATTATTTGAACCTTGGAGGTGTTTCGCTATCACTTTGAGGATCGGTTCTACTGCCCTGCCTCTTCCTGCCACCAGAAGGCTCCCTTGGTAAAAGAAGCGGAGCATCCTGCTTTTTTTTTTCAGAGGTGCTGAAAACAGTCCACCAGGTGCGGGCCTCCATTCCGTGCACTTCAAGGACAAAGACGGAGCCGCCACGGCACATCTCACACACACTCTAATCCGCGCGTCTATCACAAAACTACACCACACACTGTATGTCTCTCCTTTGTGCTGACTGAAGACAGTGCGAGTAAATGGCAGGCTGTGTGACAAAGCACTACGGCCATATTGCAGCTGAGCAGTCCCAGGTCACAGCGGCAGCCTCTTTGTCAAGAGGATGTAAGGCTCAGTCGCCCTGTGACCTTTTTGCCGAGCGGGGGGTCCAGATGGATTCCAGGGGCTGAGTGGAGAGCTTCTCTACCCTTGTCCTCCTCTTTTCAGTGACCCTCTCTACCCCCCCCCGCCCCCCATCCCTCCCAACTCCTTTTTCTTTCCCTCCCTTTTCCTCCTCCAGCAACAACATCATCCATTCCCATCAGCTCCAGCATGTGAGCAAGCTCCGCTCAAGAGGCAAATGTCAATGGCTATCAGACGGCTGGAAAAGGTCAGGAGTTCAGATGGAGAGCAGACACGCGTGTGTTTGTGTGTGTGTGCGTTTGTGTGTGTGTGGGTACATGTGGATGTGGGCTGGTGGATGAATATGTGGATATTTTTCATGTGGATCACACCAGTGGGAAATTATAACACTCGCCAATTTGATTCTGACAAAATAGTGGCACATCCCAACCAGAGGGGGAATCTAATGAGCCTAAGAGTGATTTATTCATTCCCTCCAAGTCCCCGAGTGCACAACTAAAAGCATGAAATGGATTAAATAAATACAATTAATAAGGAAAATCAAACAATTCACTGTGCTGTGGCATAATTACCCCAACCGCAGCCATCAGCTTTATTTATTTCTGTTCAGTAATAGCAATGAAATCGATTAAACCTCAATGCAAGTCAGAGTGCTCGTTGTGAACTCTGCAACCATGGACTATACATTAACGTAATCACCTGACAGAAGGAAGTGCCCTCTATTACAATAAATCACATGCAGCACAATAACACCAAAAACCTTTTAAACACATTTCACGCTCTATTGTAGTGACAAAGGCATGACGTCCATACCACTCTGCATTGTCTTACCCCATAGACAGTCTCAGATTAGTATCTATAAAAGGAAGATGGCCATCATCTCATCTTGATCATTACAGACAGACTTAATTGAACAATGAGAGGGCTCAGCTCCCCTCTCTGTCACTTCCTTCCCCCTTCCTCCTTTCTTTTTCTTTCCTTCCCTTTTGTGTACGCTCTGGTGTAATTTCTTCCATGCAGAGATGTGGGCTGCTAAACCCAAAAAAGGCAAAGCATTAAAAATGAATTACAAACAATTCTCTGGCTGTTTCCTGAATAATGAAAGCAATTCTAAGAATAAGCCTTTTGTTTGGATAATATTAACAAAATGAATTTGTGTTGTTTGACTTGGTCAAGAGCACAAAAAAATATATCTAAACTATAGTATAATACACATAAATATATATCTGTGAAAAGATATATATATATATTTACAGACTGAGCACTGAGCACCCCCGGTACTTTCAAATGAAAACATGTTTAATTAATGATGGTGAAGTATTCTGTCACAATTAGTAAGATTTCAAATCAAACAAGGAATCAGTGATGTCCCTGACAGCCATGATGAAAGTTTATCCCTCCTGTCTCTGACTGGCAGCTAGCAGCCAACGCTGGACTTGATCCATTTCCCATCAATAAAGTAATGCAATACACTCTGCAGCACTGTAGTGCAGATCCGTGTGTGTTTGTGTGTCCTTTCTTGCTTAGCTCTTGTCCGCATCACATGACCCAAGAGAGGACCAGGCAGTGGCTGTGCTCCCTATTGATTGTGTGGGCACACATCATCTAGGGTTTCAGCAGTTAATAAATCAGGCGTGCTCCTGACACAAATATATGTGTGTGTGTGCGTGCGTGCGTGTGTGTGTGTGCGTGTGTGTGTGCGTGTGGGCCTGTCATGGAGCAGTCTGCAGGAGTGAAAGCGACAGCCACATGATAATGTAACATCACCACCATTCATCCCTGCCACACAGCATTCTGAAACAAAACAACAACAACCTAGGAACCTGAAAAAAAACAGCATGATTTACAGCAAACATGACAGGTATCACTAATACAACCCCCCCCTCCCCACTTCTTCCTGCAGTTCAGCCTCATGCCCTCATCTGCATATGATACAATCCCAATAATGTAGGCTCCATCAGACGTAGTGTGGTGGCATATTTCATACTAAACCACAGAGTAGATGTAAACTACAGTGCTAGACAACGCCGTTATCATTATCAAGACCACTAAATGAATATTATGTTACATTAAATCCAATTGACTCTTTATGAGATCATGTTTACTGAACTGGATCTAAAGTAATTGAAAGACAAGGAAAGTATTTTCACTTTTATATTCAGAGAGAACAATGAAATGCATCTTTGACATTTATTATTACATTTCAAGGTCTCATATAGTTTCAGCATATTCTTCATTGTATGTGAGACTAACGTAGACCTTCAAAGTGCTCCACATAATACAAAGCCGTTTAAAGCTTCCAATAGAGTCTTGGCAGGGTACTTCTTAGTGCTGTCCATGTGTTTTTATTCTTTATATTCTCCTTTTTATCCATATTTGTCTGGCTACTACACCCACAAAGCAGCAGCTGTCGATAGAAGAATAAAAACCAAAAACTCATAGTACTTCTCTGAATTCATGTGACATTCTTAACATGTACTCCTCAACAGACTGATGTGTAAAATCTGATTAATTTCTACTTAAATGTGACCTACAGCAGAAGCAGCTCTGTAAGAATTTTGAGAGAATTCTGAATTCTGAGAACATTAATAACAATGAAGCTGTGAAATGAATCAAGATGTAATTAACGTAATTAACTATTCCTACAATAAGAGAACAGTCTTTAGTTCACTTGAATGAAATCTTATATAAGCTTTATAACTGTCAGGCAACAGATTTAACACATAACAGAAGAATAAAGAAGGTAGAGTAATAGATGCATAGATACATTTTTATATTCAAAGTATTAACACTTTAGACGTCCATCTTTTTGCAGAGCTAGTTGCTCAGTTGCCCTTTGTTATTCAGGTTAAATTCCCAATACGTTCACAACAGAACCGCTTTGGCTTCAAAACCAAATCCATTACTTTAATGTGGATAGATGCCAATGAAAATGTCCCTGGATGAACATCATAAGTTAAGTGTCCAGTCATTCATCCAGCCCATCCCAGGACCACACATAGCTCACATTCGCATTCACTCCTAGGGGCAACTCAGAGAGTTCAATCAGCCTAACCTGCATGTTTTGGGACGGTAGGAGGTAGCTGGAGTACCCGGAGGTACCCACAGACACAGGGAGAACATGCAAACTCCACATAAAAAGGCCCCCTGAATTTTAATTAGGAACCATCTTGCTCTAAAGCAATAGCGCTAACCACCACACCAACATGGCGCTCCACTTTCAAACCAGTTGCCATCTCATTTGAGAAAAGTGGCCTTAATCTGAGGATGGTCTTCACATGTAAAATCTAAAAGATGGAACATTTTGGATCATTAGTGAGGTCTCTGTTCATTTTGCTACGCTGTTGATATAAAAGTTGAACAGAAATCATTGGAATGAAGTGCTGTGATCACTACAAATAACTGCCTTCAGACAATTACCGTATCTAATAATAGTGACAGGCTTTGACTCCACATGTTTAACAGTCGAACCTGCTTTGATTGTGAGATGTTATGTTTGTCAGCCTAATGTTTTGAGATCAGTAAGCTAAAATGTTTTCAAAATCAGAAACTTCTTCAATAACTAAACCCAAAGCTTTAGCGTCACACTCAAAAATGATATCAAGTACATGTGCAGAAAATCTTCATAACTGAGAATCTTGATCATTGTAACATTTGGCAGCTTTGCTAAAAAATGAACACAAGTGATCACCGACTGACTTGGTGCTTTAAATTTCTGTCAGCTGACTAATCAGTTAATCATTGTTTCAGCTCTGGAGATCCACTGATCTGAGCTTACAATATTTGGCTCCACATAAACCAATGAAATAACCATTATAGACTGCAGCAGTGAGCCAATCATTATGTCATTATGATGTCAGAATGCCAGTCAATACATTATGAACAATCATTATAAAATTTCATAGTTTGCAATCAATGAATGTCATGAAAGGTACTGGCTTGTTCATGACTACCCATTAACTCATAGGAAAGTTTCCAAAATGTTCTCTCCATCACCTGATGATTGGAAGCTGTACAGTCTCAGCACACAAGGGCATAGTCATAAAGTACCTCTAAAACAGTTTTATGTTTTATCAGCCATCTCAAGTATCATGTGCAGAAAGGGCCAGAGCTGAAGTGTTGCATCTGACACTGGGTGGGGGATGGGGATTACCAAGGACAGGGAGAAAAGCACCAAAGAAACACTGGAGGGACAGACAGAGATGGGGAGATGTGGATGGTGGAGACTAGGAGGGAGGAGTGTGATGGAGGGAGAATGAAAGGCGAAAAATAGAAATGGAATAGGAAAGCGAGGTGTCAATTAAAAAAATGAACCCTGGTGCATTTGGGAGGTGACAGCTGGTGGGAGACGAGCTGACAGGCGTCACATTAGGCGGATTTGGTGGCCGCTCCCCTCATCCCCTCCTTTTTTTTGTCTCCTCTCCTGCTCTCCCTCTCCCTCTTTGCTTCCCCGGCTCTCTCCACTGGCGATCGGCAGTTTCTCATGCGGCAGCGGTGGCGGCGGTGACTGAGGGAAGAACTCAGCTTGGTGTTTTTCAGAACAAGTTCCCCCTGCAGCTACTCCTAATAACGGTAATTATCGTCATCATCCGAGGCTTAAGCAGGCCAGTTTGAGGCCTGAGGGGCTGGCCTGATAATGAGGCAGCCAGCGCCAGAGGAGAGGACCATTCCCGAGCACCGCCCTGCCACCAACACAGAGTACTCCCATTTAAAAGCCTTCATTAAAATAATTCATTATTCAAAATAGGCAATACATTAGCCCCTGGCTGTCAGTCTTCCTCAAGGTGTCTGAAAAAATATATCTCT